TACATAGTTTATGAAATGTATCTCTCTATATCCACACCTGGGCCATATGGTAAATGAAGCTAGAAGAGAGTTAATGCAGTTCAGGTAACAGGTTAAGATTAAGATTAGAGTAGGTTATGCCTAATCTAAAAGTCCAGTGATAAATTCCATGTTTTAATTTTCAAAAACTTACTGATGCAGATACATCAGTAAAATACAAAGAAATTTTCTCGCTTGTATATTGCACTTGCACAGTGAAGCAAGTACTAATAAAGCTAATAAAACACAGAGAACAAAGTATAACTTGAATAGGTCATGGCATCAGCAGCTCCAAGTCCATGTAGAAGATAACCTAGAAAAGCAATTGTTTTCTTATTTTATGATGGCAGATATTAGTATGGAAAAAATGCAAGTTTGTAATGGCAAAGCTTACAAAAATAATGAAAATATGTTTGTCTTAAAAAAATACTAGAAACAAATCTTCAAAGTTCAGGTTCACAGACTTTCTGAAATGTTAGCACTGTTGGGAGTTAATACACTCACTAAGAGTGAATTCGCTTCATGCTTGTCCCTCAGCTCCCACTTTCTTCCTGCTCCAATACTTCCTTCTCAAAGCTTCTTAAACTGTCTGTAAAGCACCTTGACTTACTGTGATAATGACCTCTTACTGCTCGATGGAGTGCTTTGTCTGGGTACCAGCAGCTAAATCCTCTGCAAATACAGGGACAAGGACTGGTCACTGCCGCGGAGCATTTGCAGTCTAACATATTAAACAAATTGTACAGACTTGTGCGTCTGATCTGAGATGAACAGATTACAGAGGAGGGCCCAGCATTTGGAAATGGCTCATAATGCTTTTCTTTGTTACAAGGAGGATTGAGTAGCTTTAGTAGAGTGAATTAAGCACTGTTGAAATACCTTGGCAATATTTTCATTTTCTGCCCTTCATTCTATTCATGAATGCTCTCAGGGACCAATTTTATGTCACTGTTCTGAACCAGTATGTTTGAAATTGGTAAGAAACCAAATGTTCTATGCAGGCTTTAGCCTACAGAACAGTACAGGTATAAATGAGCAAGTGTTGGATGAGATATTTACTCTTACTCTAGCTAGGTCTGCAATTAAGCAAAAAGGCTTTTTTTTTTTTCCTTAACAAGAATTCATCTGGGAATTAAAATTTATTATAACACAGTAGTCAACTATCAGTAGTCTGTAACTTGGAGCATGGTAGGGTCCATGCAGTACATCCTTGGACTTGGTCAAAGAAGAGCATCTGTTTACCTTTCTGAAATTCATGTGCAACAGTTAGGGTTTTCCTGAATCAGTGCTGCCGTTTGGTCTCTCCAGCATTTGAAATCCAAGTTGTGGTATCTGCCACCTGGTGGTGAACTGCTTCTCCAGACGAGCTGTGTGTGAAGCAGTTTGTCATTTCAATAAAAGCACAGTTAACAACTTCAATAACACCAGTAGGCAGCTGGCACAGGATCATCAGTAATGTCCTGGGCCTGCTGTCAGTGCAAATGCACAGATCCTGTCAGCTGAGAGACCTTGCCCAGCCCCTTTGCTGGGGGAGTATCCAGCTTATGACATCTCCATTCAAATCAAAATTCATCATCACTGATGGCTCTGTATTCTGCCTTGTGAATAGCACCTTGGGTTTAGAACAAAATAAAATAAAACCAAATGTAACTACTGTTTCCTAAACTGAGGAAAATAGGAGCAACTCAATTATTCTTTCCTGTTCCTCTGCTAACAGACAGAAAAACTGGCAGGTTCAACACTAATGCTTCGTAATGCTAACCTTACTATGTATATGTATGTGTGTGTGTGTATGTGTATATATATATATATATATATATATATATACACATAATTTATAATATATATAATATTATGCAATATCATATGCCATAATAGGTACATACATACACTATATTTTCATCATATGTGCTATTTTCATTTCCATGCTGTAAAACAATTGGAATTGGAGCTTCAGATGAACAAATAGGCAGCTGTCAAGTGCAATTTTCAGAAGAGAGTAGTATTTTTTTATTACATTTACTCATGTAATTCCAGCTGTTAAATTGAGACCAGGTACCATCTTCTTTTTGTCAGTAATAACAGAAAGGGTGTCTAGTTCTTTTCAGCTGTAATCCTCTGGTATCCACAGGTAATTACTTTGCAAACTGTGGCACCTGGTCTATTACCACTTAACTGAAGTATTTCTTGGTTTATTGATGTGCTTTTCTCCTAGGAATGAACAGTGCCAGTTAGTTTGTTTGATCATTAAATAGCTATTCTGCCTTAGAAACTTACAGGCACGTGGAAGGAAAATGTGACGACAACAGGGAGAACAAATGAAATACTTGTTCACAGGTTATTTTTGTAATTTTGTAGAGAAGGACTTTGTGTTCACATGACTAGAAAGACAGACTCCTCAATAAGCCAAACAGAGGAATGCTCCTGACAGTTTTATATTATAAAGGGATGAAATGGTGCTTAAAATAATGCTGTGAGATGAGAAATCCCACTTTCAAAGGAACCGCTGGTCCTGCTGCAAGAGAGGTTGGGCATCAAAACAGAAAGAATTTATTTAAAGTGGGTCCTGTTACAAGCACTGTTTTTTAAAGGGTTTTGTTGATTTAGTGGTTGTAGGAAGATCAAAAAGCCTGGAGATGAGAGAAGCTATAGGCCTTGGCTTTTGTCTCCTCTCTCTTCAAGGAATGCCCCTTCTATAAACCCAACTCCCTGATTCTGCTTTCAGTTTCGTACCATGCTGTGAGGCCACACATCAATGGGACATACAATGTGACACTCTAAGATTAGACTTGTTAGTGAGGCTACTTTTAGTTGTTGGTGAGGGCAAGCTTTCTTTGTATCTATGCTATTTGCTCTAACTTTTATTTAACACTTTGCAACCCTGCATTAATTAATAAAATACAAATGAGAGAAGCAAAACATCATAGCCAGGTTCCCCCAATGAGAAGTGTATTTGTCTTGACAGATGGATTGGTCTTTCATTCCTTGAAATCCTTGAAAGTACACTTAGATAAGTGTGTGCATGGATACATCTTCACATGGATGTAAATAAGTGCACTTGATACAAAAGCTGGCTTAAATACCAGTTCCAGCATTTCAACATCAAGCAATGGCCAAGTGAGGGTTGCTCATCCAGACTGACTGGAAAAACTGGCATAAGAGCCCATAAAGGCTTGGATAATTAACTTAATTGTCCTTGTAGTCTGACATTGCAGGGTCAAAACCATGCTGATGCTGAGTTTCTGCTGTACCTTCAACTTCCAAGAGATTTATTCACACTTGCCTTCTAGCCTAGACCTGATGTATAAATTTTGTAATTAAAGCTTGTCTAGTATCTATATTTTAAGTAAGTTATTCTGCAGTTGTTGCACACTTCACAGAGTCTTTTCTTTTGCACAAAGTTGAAAAATTCTGAAGGGTAAAATCTTACCATAAAATCTAAAAAAACTGCATAGAAATTGAAGATTATAATAGAGTCTGATTTTCCATGGTCTTCATAGGGAAGATACTATGTCTATGAGACACTTCTTAATTCAGTGTAATTCTCCATGCCATAGGTGTGCAACCTGAACCATGCTGTCATCTGTTTCTAACCACCCACAAGGCACATCTGTCACAGGAAAGAGTTCTTTTGTGTTTGTGGGTAAAGAACTGTCTGAAACAGACAAAAAGAAAACTAAAAACATACATTTTAAGAAAACTATTGAAATGGTCAACAGATAAAGAATAATTCATGTATCTAGCTCTCTCTTCATTCAGAATGAAGGAAATAAAACCTCCTTTCAAAGAGAAAGAAACAGCAGGCACATTGATAGGGAGAAGTGTAAAAGGCTAGTGGGAGAACTGATTGCAGAGCTGATGGGAGTCAATTGGATTGATTTGGAGATTGGATGGGCAGAAGTAATTGCTGAGTATCAGTCAGGGCTCCTGCAGTACCTGTGTCATCACTGTCTCTATCAAAAAATCTGCCACCACTAATTCTCATTCATATGCATAGTTTGAGAAGGGTCTCAGAATAAAAATAGACATAAAAAGGCAAAATAATATTTGTAATAATTATTTAATTGTCGCTCTTATTATTAGGGTTTTTTTACTTTTTGGAGCTAGAGACCCTAGGATCTGAGGAACTGAGCAGTGCTGGAACCAGTTTGAACCTGTGTTTGATGTAAGTCTTGTATTCTGCTTCCAACAATCATCAAAAACAGATGGTTTGGAGAATTGAAATCTCTACTAGCAATAACAGTCTTTCTATCCTTATCACTCATATCTTTAAGTAAAAAGTTGGTATTTATCATACACTTATTTAATGCTCTGATTTGTTTTCACTATGCATGTGAATGCCTAACCCTCTTCAGTGCTGCACAGCCCACAGCCCTTGCCAATGCAGACACCAGCATGGAGAAGTTCTGTGCAAAGGTAAGCTGTAAAATAGATGAGATAAGGTATGAGCTGCATTTGAAAATGGAATTTTAAAAAGCTGAAGGAGAGTGCAGCAGAAATAACGGGATGCTTTGAGAACGCTTGTCCCCAGTCTGAGCAGTGCAGCCAATACAGGCCATCAGCAATCACGCTGTAACAACAGGCAAGTTCCCAAGCAGGGTATGCAGGGGGGCTGGAAAGAGCTGCAGTGGGTGAGACAAACCATAAAGATCAGAGCTGTGATCTCACATGGATACAGGTGTGCAACATGTGGGATCACAAGCTCATTTCCTTCCCTAACCATTTCTACTTCTTCTGTTGTTAACTGTAACAACTATGCAGAGTGTTTTGGTGCATTTTTCCTGTTTATTTTCAATTTTATTCTTTTATACTTGCCTCTCATTTAGAATTGAGGAAGATAGTTTTTAAGTTTTCACCATAAATTGCAACCAATTAGAAAAACAATGTGAGGTAGTAGTAGTAGACACTTGAATAAACCAAAGTCTAAATATATTTGTTTGCTCAATAACTTTTTTTATGTTAATTAGAAAAATAGGGGAAACACTAAAATACTAGCTAATTTTCAAATTGGACCCATTTTGCTTCCAATTTACAAGATTAAAAATGTTTACACCAAGTTGTTACTTGCAATCCAAATCCATTTAAAATTATAAATGCCATGAATATTTCAATGTGGTGTGTAAAGGTAGGAGCAGTCCTATGACTGCAAGAAAACTTTAGATACTTTTCTTCTGCAGTGTTTAATAATCAAAACACATAGACTAATCAGGTGATGCCAATAGCCTGAATGCTGGATTATATATCACCAGCTCACTGGGATGTAGTTAATGTGTTGCTAGGCAGGTAAACAAGTCTGGGTTATGCCTGGCTGCTTGAGAGAAACAATATCTGTGCCTGGCTGGCTTTATTCAGTCACAGAAGAGCAAGGAGAAGCATGGTACAACCCTGCCCACGTACTGCAGAGTCTCACCTGATGGTTCATCAGTCCCTGCACTGGGAATTAAGGCTTCCCATTCCCCAGTATTTCTTACTGCCAAGCAGAGATGGCTCCTCCCTCAGTGTCCTGGGGTTCTTGTGAGCTCATGTTGGCCACAAAGATGCCCAAGGTGTTTGAATGCTTGTAGGGTTTCCTTTTGAGTCCTGGAGTTTCCTCTGGGAGTCAGCTAGGGAAAAGTTAAACACAGCAATGACAAAATGCATTTGTGTATCTGGACCTATGCCCATACATGCATCTGAGGTGGCTCAAAGCATCTCTGAACTGTAGACACAGGTTAATTTTGTGTAGCTATGACAGAACCTTGACTGCCTCTCTTATGGAGAACTGGGGAGAGACAGAACCTGGAAGGCAGAATGGGGAAAGAGCCAGAAAGCTGAGATTGATGGTGGGTCCCCTAGACACTGCTCTAGTGGCTGGCATTAGTGGGAGCAGCAAGGCACAGCTAGATCTGAAAATTTGCTTGTCTCTCTTCATTACTTCCAATTTGTTGTCATAGCTGGGTATTTTGTCTGCATCTAGCAGCACACCAAAAGTCACTACTAAAGCTCTAAGGAGACCATGAAAATACTCAACTGATGAATACTTCATGACAGTATTATATGCTACAAATATTTTAATTGGTTTCATGATATGCCATTTAGTATTAAGTGAAGTGTATCTCCTGCAAAGGAAGTCTATTTTCCTTTGTTAATAATTTTTCAGCTTTTGTGCAAAATGACTGTGCTTTCTTCTTTTCAATCTTCATAAAATAAAAGGCTTTTGCTTTTATCTTCCTTGTACATCTAGGAAGAGGTCTTTTTAATCAATTAAAACCAGTAAGTTTGCACTTTACAAACACAAGCTCTTTACCTGTTGAAGTTTAAACATTTCTGATGGTTTTTGATGGTCTGCTTAGGCTGGTGTGCGTCTGTGGGTTGTGTCTGCAGTACTGGCATGCAGCATTTTGGGGGTTCCTGGATATACCCACATGAACAGCAGAGATGTTGGAAGTACAGATGCCCACAGGGAGCCTTTCTGGGCACTGCAGGTGCCACGTTTGCTGCTGGCTGTCCTGATGTTTCATCCTCCAGTAACTCTCTGTGGCTGAGCATCTGGGGTCAGGAAATTCAAAGATACATTTTTTCACCTTGCTGCTCTATTTTCAGAAGACAACTACACATGTGATAGGCAGCATCTATCAAGTAGTGTAACTGCTGAGCAGTGTCTGCAGAGTGAATTTAAATGCTCTGGGAATATGTCTCATAATTTCAGAAATGCAAAGCTACCTCAGAAATCCACAGTGCAGGACAGGTGCTTAACTCTCACTTTTGGTGAACTTCTCTAGTTGTGGTAAAAGCAAAAGTTACATTTTCATGAAATGCAAAGCACAATCCAGTGCTGTGCTTTGACCTTGCAATGGTCAAACCTGGATAATAATCTCAGGATATCAACTGCACTCTGCTTAAGGTTACTCTGCACTTCACACGTGCTACAAAGTACAGAACAGCAGCCTCTGTGCAGCTACAGTCCCCCTTCCAGGAGAATGCCTAGCAGGGCAGCTTGCTGGCAGAAATTCATACTGTCTCTTTTAAGTGACAATATGAAATGCAAGAAGAGTCAGGATCTAGGCCTCTTCTACTCCATTTGTCTCAATGAAGTGAGGAAAATTGCGATAAAGGAAAGAAGACAGTGAAATTTACAGCTTCTCCAACTCAGTGATTCAATACAGCTCTTTAGTCATTGACCTACTGTTCTTCACTTCCTCTTACATGTTATTATGAGGGGAAAAAATAATTCATAATCACTGGATTAACTTCTCTCCAGGCTACAGGAAAACTTACAGTTGCTTTTTGTTATTGAAAGCTATTGGGTATTGTGCCTTTGTTTTGAGATTTCCTTTCTCTCCTACGCATTACAACTGAATGAAGGTATACTCCTAAAGATCACTTCAAAGTGGAGTGACACGACAGAAACATTTCCCTCTAAACTACAGCAATGGGCTTGACACTGGGAGGTCATACTTGGCCAAGTGTAAATTACAGATTCCATTTCATGCATTTGAATCACAAGTTCTTGTGGCAACTCACAAGTTGTAAAGGACCAAGTGCAGTGGGACGAAGGGTGGCCCCAGGCTAGTGCTCAGATGGAAGGACATTCAGCTTTCTTCTGCTTGGGCAGCAAGATCTTTTACTTGACATGTCACCTGCAAGACACGACAGAGCAAAATATGATGCCACCTCAAATGAAAAAGGGAAAAAAGTAATCCAGATCAAACCTTAAATAGGGCAGAAGCAATAGCTTCCTCACATTAAATTGCTTTCACGGGTGCAAAGATAAGGAGAAGTTACAACTGATGCACCCTATTCTTATGTGGTGTTTGGCAGCACTGCCAAACCAAGCACTCAGAAATTCTAGATCTCATTCAGAAAGCTTGATATGCCCCTGGAAATCGTGACAGTTCAAATACTTAACACAAGTTGCTCTTTATTTGTTTTCCTGGGATAAATCATTACCATTCAATTCCAGGTTTTCTAGAACGGAGCTTGTAGAAATACAGAAGGCTTTGGGAAAAGAGCAAGTGCTGTGAGTGTCCACCAGCCACAGTGCTGGGATTGCCCTGGTGGCCTCAGCAGCCTCCACCAGCAGGCAAATTTTGTTCATAGAGCTTCATTTTGAGTCCTGAAGTTTCCTTTGGGAGTCAATTAGGAAAAAGTTAAACACAGCAATGACAAAGTCCATTTGTGCATCTGGACCTATGCCCATACATGCATCTGAGGTGGATCAAAGCATCTCTGAACTGTAGACACAGGTTAATTTTGTGTAGCTATGACAGAACCTTGACTGCCTCTCTTACGGAGAACTGGGGAGAGGCAGAACCTGGAAGGCAGAAAGGGGAAAGAGCCAGAAAGCTGAGATTGACGGTGGTGTGGTGGGTCCCCCAGACACTGCTCTGTTCTTTGGTGGCTGACATTAGTGGTAGCAGCAAGGCACAGCTAGATCTGAAGTAATTTATTTGCTTTTCTCTCTTCCTTTCTTCCAATGTGTTGCCACAAGCAGCTGGGTATTTTGTCTACTTCTAGCAGCACACCAAGAGTCACTACTAAAAGCTCTAAGGAGACCCATGAAAATAACTCGGGCGTCCGAGTGTTTATGGTGTGAGAAGGAAACGCGGGAAGCCGGCAGGACGCGCTGCCGAGGCCCGGCGCTGCAGGCCCAGCCCCAGGGGCTCCGGGGCCGGACCCGCCGGGGCTGCGCTCGGCTCTCCCGCGGCTCTGGGAGATGGACGGGATCCCCAGGCCGCAGAGGGCCGGCGAAGCAGCGTGGATGCCGGCATGAGGAGTCCAGTGCGGGGCCGGGCCCAGGAGCGCGACGGCCGAGCGTGCCGAGCAGGGCAGGGCAGGGCAGGGCAGGGCAGAGCAGGGCAGGGTAGGGCTGGGCAGGGCATGGAGCGCTCCCCGCCCGGCCCCGCCCCGGTCCCCGCGGGGTGGCGGGAGCGGCCGGGCAGCCCCGGCGGCCGCCGCCTCCTCGTTCCCCGGCTTTGGCGCGGGGAAGGACCGCAGCTAGAGGGAGCTGCTCCGGACCGCGTCTGCCCGTGCGCCCCGGTTCTTTCACAGGCTCCCCCGCCCCTTCCCTCCCTCCTTCCCCCGTGATGGCGGAGGACAGCGAGTCCGCGGCCAGCCAGCAGAGCCTGGAGCTGGATGACCAGGACACCTGCGGCATAGACGGCGACAATGAGGAGGAGACCGAGCACGCCAAGGGGTAGGGGAGCGCTTGGGGAGCGCGCGTGGCTCGGGGAGGCAGCTCCGTGTCCCCCGCCGCGGCAGAGGCCGGGCTGGAGGTGCCCGGGCCGGGCTCCCCTGATGCCCGGCGCGGTCCCTCGTTGGCGCGGGTGTGCTGGGCGCTCCTGCCCGCTGGCGGGCGGCCTGCGCGGCCCGGCCTGGCCCGGCCCGGCTCATCCGCGGCGCCTGCGCCGGGCCGCCGAGCGGCCCCAGCCCGGGCCGCCTCCCGCCGCAGCATGCGGGCGTGGAACGGCCCTGCCGCCCCGCCCGGAGCCCCGCGCCCTTCTGCCCGCAAAGGGAGAGGCGGGAGCCTGGGCCCGGCCCGGCCCGAGGTGAGGGGGCGGCGGGGCTGGCACTTACCCGCCGGACACCGGCCTTGAAATCGCGCCGTATAAGCGAGGGTAAATCCTGCCTTCTTGTTGGCGCTTTTAGGGCTTGGGGGCGTTTCTGCATATTTCTGTCCGTCGGGAAGTCCCCTGCAGCGGGGACATGCCGCCGTGACCTCCGGTGTTCCGGCTGAGCGGCTCCCGCGGGCCGTCCCGCGCCCCTCCGCGCCCACAGCCGCCGCCCGCTCGCTGCGGCCGCGCTGCGCTCCGGGCAGCGCCCGTGCCAGCCTGTCCTGCGGACACTCCTCCTCACCCATTGTCCTCTAGAGATGTTACCTCCAGATCCGCACGCTGTGGAGAGCAGAGCGCGTGTTTTGGCAGGGCAGTAGCCGGGGCAGACGCTGTTGTCTGGTTGTAGTTCCTTCTTCGCTAATCTCGCGTCTCAGATCTTCCCACGCTGAGATCAGGCGGTGTTTCGGTTGCCTGGGGAGCTGATGGGAGAGGCACCAGCCTCGCTGCGGCCCCTGCCACCCGACCGCTGCTGGGCTGGCTGCGGTATCACTGCGTTCAGGCACGAGGTGCCAAGGTTCTAGCTTGCTCTGAAGGCTTTTGGGGCAGGGGAGTGGGAGGAATATGTTTCCAAAGTCGACTTTATTTATTTTTTCTCTTTTTTGAGGGGTTGAAAACGTGATTGCAGAGAAGGCGCTTTGTTGTCGCAGCCAGGAGTGGCTGGAGTAACCTAAAATAGAACTGGGTTAATCTATACAGTGCTACACAAATATCTTCCTCGTGAATTTGTGATTGATCTGCTTGAGAGCTTTCTGTAGGTTACTGATGTTTGAGGATGTACTCTGTTTGTGTCTTCTGCTTCTAGGATTTGGTTGACAACAATCTTAAATGTGGCAGGAGAAATCTAAGGGACTTTGGAAGGCTGACTTGTCTAGAAGGCAGAAGGGGGAAAACTTTGATGCTTGCTGCTCTGTCATTGAGTTAATGGCACACACTAAAATAAACGTGTTAGAAATAATTACAGTAATATAAATCTGGGATATTAAAAGTGACAAAATAGTGTTTTGTTATTTTGGGGCTTTTATTACATTTGCTTCAATGAGTATGTCACAGTTGGTGATTCCCAAATATGTGAAACTAAAGTCCTAAGAGCAGGGAGTTGTTATTTATTGTTCTTCATAGGAACCGACCTGGCATCCTAGTTGGGATTGTTTAATAGCCAGGTAATGATTCAGGTAGTGATTCATGTAATGATAGCCAGATTCAGGTTTGATTCAGGTGATGCCTGTTCAGAATTCATTTTGATTGCGTTCCTACTTCAGTTTCCTCTCCTGTCTGTCTGTCTATCTGTCTGTGTGCGTGCCCGGGCTGTAGCTGCCCTCTGCAGCCTAGCTCTGTGTGTGGCTGTGCTGGGGCTGCTGTGACAGCGAGTGCAGTGTGTAAGGAGCAACCAGGGAACAAAGAATTGCACTTCGGTGTGCTCTGTCACACCTTGCTGCTCTACTCCAACACGTGTCTCACTGCTCTCTAAGGGACACCAGCTGTAGCCTGTATCGTCTTCTACCCAAAACTTGTCTCTGTTGAATATCCCAGATGTATTTTAATGAATGTTTTTTAGTAAGTTTAGTTAAATTAGTGGTAGATCATTCCAGTAGAAAAAGCCTCTTAAGTATTAGTATCTACTGCATGAAGTCTCATATTGACTCTTGGATTACTTTATTTTCCTGTAATCTTTGAAAAATCTTATTTGCTGCTCTTTGTCTGGAGGCTGAAATACTCAAATGAATTCCAGGAGATGAAAGGAAAAATCCCACAGTGGAGCATGCAAGATCTGAGAGATTAACCTATAGTAATAGGAGCCTAATTAATTATTCCCTGTTTTCTCCCTGTCACTGTGTATTAATTCTTGAGGTAACTTTAAAGTTTACTTCAAGCTTTTAGATTAGGTTTTATATACTCAAGCAATTTATGAGCAGTCCAACTACTTGAGACTATGACTGTGTCAACTGACTTGCTGCATTCTGTGTGGTCTCCATTAGTGCTCATCAGTATTTAATCTCATTCTATTTTAACTTGCACTTTTTTAGAGAGAGGCAGAATATTGTGTGTCAGTCTCTACTGGATTGCCATGTAAGTTAAGTTATTTTCGAGATGTTTCTTGACATTTGAAAATAAGTCCTTAGAATATTGCCCACAGGAAAACGTGATTTTTAGATACATATGACTTTTCTGTTTTGTTTTGTTTTAAATTTGCAGGGGTTTTTGTGCTTGAGCACTGAATGAGTGCAGCAGAAAATAACCATTTTGTAGCTCTCAACTGTGAAAATGTCTTTGTCCTCTGATTCTGCTCCTGTTTTTTAGAGGCAGGATTATGTATGTTGTGTGACTCATTGCTGTTTTCCTGTTCTGTAGTTTGCTCCTGCTAGACGCATTATGCTGTATTTGTTCTGTGTTGTAATAAAGTGTGATTTACAAAATATCTTTGTTATTGTATATGTAGAAAAAAATGTTGCACCTGAATCCACCCTGCTAAGTCCAGCCTTATAAGGTCTCTCACATTCTAAATAGCTCCTTATGCTCACTGCCAGAAAGGCCTTGGGCACAAAACATTTAGAGAAAAAGGTATGACCTTTAAACAACTCCCCCAGCCCTCACAAATTATTTGCTTTGAATGTTTTAGTAGTATACCCCTATAATTATTGCTTAAAAAGGCCAACTTTATAATGAATACTACTTCTAGATTTAAAAAAGAAGCAAATATTTTAGGGTTGTGGAAGCATGCTTGGTTTTAGCAGGTGGGTTTTACGGCTTGGAGTACAGATCACAGACTTGAAGGGTGAGGCGGAGGAAACATGCAGATCTGAGGAATGCTCTTGGGTTAGGGTTTCAGGTATTGCTGCTAGGTTTTCATGCTAAAAACCTTGCATTCTCAAGTATTGAAATGTATACAAATGAAATCTTCATGCAGAGAGATTCTTTGTAAGGACAGTTTGTTAGTAAGTGGAATTGGAAGGGCATAGACCCTTCTGGTCAAGACCTTTCTACATTGTCTTTGGAGTGGTGGTTTTTCACAGCAATGAGAAAGCTCTTTGCACCTAAACCTCCTTTTTCTTTATGAACCAATGACAGCCCTAGTATAAATACTGCTTTAAAATTTTTTGAAGTCTTACCCATATACATGAGGCCTGATTTTTGTGATCAAAAAGATCTGTGTAACATCTTCAGAAATGCAGCTTTGCAACTTCACTTACTCGCAGAGAGAGAAGTACTGTGAAGGCAAGAACCCCACACAGGCCTTTGCAGTTTAAAAATAAACATCTGAAGTACATGTTTGGTTTTAAATCTGAGAAATTGCTAACTTAAAATTACCATTCCGTGTAACATAAAACAGATGTTGACATTACAAAAGTCTGTTTCTGCTAAAGCAGAATTTAGTGCTCAAAAAGGAAATTAAAATAATAGTGACAATTAGTCAGTGATAATCTCAAACCAAGGGAACCAAAACAGTTTGACCACCTGAACAGGATAATTGTCATGCTCCTCTGGATTTTTCTGTCTTGGCTTTTCTATGGATTTGCTCTGAGCCTCATAAAGTAAGTTCCTCCACCCTTGCCACACTTCTCCCAAATGCACTAAGTATTCCCATTTTTCAGTTTAGAAAAACCCAATCCAACCAAAACACCACCACATGCAGGGAGAAGCAAAAGTATTTTTTCCCACATCTATGCAAAACACCAGATGTGTGTACATAAGTGGAAAGGTATGTGGGTGGGATCATGGGCTTGCATTTGTGACTTGCAGACAAAATCATCAATCTGTAGGCCTAAGTGACTATCTCAGAGTCCTATCCACAGCCTGTTTCTGGGGCAAGGTTAAGTCATTTTGGGGGAGAATAAGGTCGTTTGACCGTTTTCCTGGCTCAAATGAATTTTGATTTGCATGTCCCTTTTATGCTGGCCTCACCTTTTCCTTTTTCATCAGACTGACAAAATTGTCATTGTGGGTGCAGTTAAAAATATCTTAGACTGTGCCTGTGCTTACATATAGCTGAACCTCAGTGTACAGACTTGCCCTCCTGTCATTAAAGTTCTCCTGGTATAAGTGTGTCTCCACTAGACTGACATAGTCAGTACTTCCAGAAGTCTAACATTGAATGGTTTTCTTTGTATAATCTGTTGTGGTCTGTGTGGCAGGCTGCACTGGGGCAGATGTGTTGATCTGATGTGTGAAAAGGTCGGGTTTCCTGACCTGCCAACTTGTCATGGCAGCACCCTGAGCTCTGTATTGTTTTTCTACTTCCCACATAGGACCTGAGCTCAGACTTGTGTCATTTTACAAGTGCAGGGTAGTTTGGAAAAAGAGATTTCACGCTTAAAGGTCAACTTTCATAAAAATGGGAAACTTTTTTCCTCCCAGCTTCTAAGTGTGAGATATAATTCAGCATGTCATCATATAGATGTGTCTGACCAGACAGAGGAGAATTCAGATCTTAGTCAGCACACAAGAATGTCAGAGGAAAGCTTTTAACCAGAGCCCTTGGTTTCAGTGTTGTTACCTTTGCATATCCTTTGTGCTGTCAAGTCTAGCATAATTGCTACAAGTTGAGCAACCACGTTCCTCCCTTCCCAGCCATTCTCACTCCCAGTTTTAGAGCCTTTCTGTTCTTTTCAAGGCAGAGCATGAGAAGGATAACAAATCCTGAGGTGTTTTTGTTCTGCTTCTGCCCTGATTTGCTTGGTATCTCTGGTTATAACTTGTGTTGGACAAACCTGTTTACTGAGTAGAAGTTTCTGTGTGCTGCCTGCTGCCAAATATCTGGGTTGCAGGCGTGCCTAAATAGTAGGATGAGTAGAACTCTATTTAAATCCTCGTTTTACATTGTGTGGTCTGTAACAGTAAAAAATAAACTGACCCAAGCAGGAGACTGCATAAATAACTGCTCAGAATGATCCCTGGATAACCTGTCAGACAAAGATACCAGAATTTATTTTGCAACAGACAGTGTGAAAGATTTAAACCTGAAGGTCATAAACCAAGGACTGGGATTTTGGAAGATTAAAAAAAAATTAAAAACTAGTAGTGTAGTTTTAAATGCCACATATATTTTACAGCAGTTTACTTCTGTCTTCCTTCTTTCCTTGCTGAAGACTATACATTTCTAAGTGAAAAAGATCTTGAATTGGTCAAAGTACAAGCTACGATTGTCCTGGTAAAAGTACGGTTTGACTGGGGATAACATTAGTAAAGCTTGGCAAAGCTGATTTTTCTCCATAGCTGCCAAGTTTGTTTTTTTTAGCTCAATTGTTCATTATTTCACCAAGCTAAATAAAACATTGACCCTCAGGTAATCCTAGTGAGCAAAATTCCCCTGTGGTGTGTGTGACACTGGATCATCCTGAAAGACAAGAAGACAAGTGAGCTGCACTGGTGCAGTTTGGGGCTCGGTGCCTGCTCAGGGTGTCTGTTAAGAGCAGAGTTTGCTGAAACTCCAAATAGCCTGGTGTTCAGCACAGAAACCCTTGGGAGCCAGCTCAGAGACACAGAGGCATCATTTGTTTGCTATATGTGAGGTGTTACAGGGAAAGACAAGTTTGTGGACAGTTGCAGAAAGTAAAATAAATCCTGCCTTAAATGAATCTCAGCAAAGGTGAAATCACTTCCCCTGGTATTTTTATCTTAGTTTTGCCAGATAGAGGTGGTGAAGTCCTAGGCCTTGTACACATGTGTGAGCTTTTGCTGTTTTGTATTTATAACCACTTGCCAGTCTTTTGGGTCTGTTCTGTGTTTAAATTCTGTACAAAATGTCAGCTTGGTATACAGGCCTTCAGATGGATTTGCATTTTATTCTTTTAAATGAGTCGACACTGTGCTGCCCAGGTGGCCAAGGAAGGCAATGGCACCCTGGCTTGTGTCAGACAAAAGTGTGACCAGCAGGACCAGGGCAGTGATGGACTGGTGAAGCCACACCTTGAATCTGTTTTGAGCCCTTCCCTGGCCTCAAAACCAGAGCTGGAGCATATCCAGAGAAGGGCTGCAAAGCTGGTGAAGAGGCTGAAGAATAAGTCCTGTGAGGAGTGGCTGAGGGAAGTGGTGTTGTTAAACCCGAAGCAAAGGAGGTTCAGGGGGGATCTTACTACTCTTCAACTCCCTGAAAGAAGGTTTTAGCCAAGTGAGAGTTGGCCTCTTCTCCCAGGTAACAAGTGACAGGACAAAAGAAAATGGCCTCAACTTGGATCAGGGGAGATTTAGGTTGAATGTGCTGAAAAATCTCTTCACCAAAGGGATTGTTGAGTATTGTTTAAGGTTCCCCAGGGAAGTGGCAGAGTCACCATCCTTGGGGGTATTGAAAATGTGTAGATGTGGCACTGAGGGATAGATATCATTTAGTGGTGGACTTGGGTTAATGCTGGGCTCAATGATCTTAAAGGAGTTTTCCAGCCTGAGTGCTGTGATTCAATGAAATCGTGATTCATTGTGGATTCATGTAGGTGATCTGGCAGTATGCTTATTCTGCAGCAAAAGATCGTCTCCCTGCATCACTTACACAAGTCCATCTTTTGCTTCTGCAGCCTTCTAGTAAATGCTTTAAATTCTCTTACCTCTCCAGTGTGTTTGGTGTGCTCTGCTGTTGTCCATTGAGTAGCAGCTTGGTCCTGTTCTAGAGGCTGTGGCATTTACAACACTTTCATTCTGGGAGCATAACCCAGTGTAACCTTGAATGTTATGAACTTCTTGAGATTGATCTTTCACTACAGACTATTCTAAAGTACAGTAAGGATCTCACAAAAATCAGTCTTTGCTTAGTTGCATTGTTTGCTTAATTGCAAGCTTTGGGCCTCCCTACTGGAGGGAGGGTGTTTACTTGACAATACCAGCTCAGGCGAGGTACAGATGCTAAGACTTGTCATCATAATCTTGAAAGTGAGCATGTTACAGCAAATCATATATCCCTTGCAAATATGTTGATCGTAATAACTTCAGTTATGTTCTTCTGAGTTTTCTTTCTTGTTGTTTGTCAGTATGATACATGGGGTTTTTTCCCCCTCCAGGATTAAAAGAAACAATTGTTTGTTGCATTGACTCTTTTTCTTTTCCAGTGAAAAACACCCAAGCCCCCAAACTCTGATATCTGTCTTCATTTCCATTATGTGCATATGGCTTTGCTGAGAGATTAGCCTCTTGAAGACAGTTTAGTGTTAATTGACTCATTGCCTCCGTATTTTCATTTTGTCTGAGAGTTGCTAACACATCCCACACTTAGCAAATTCTGATCTAATCTTGATTCTATATCTTGATTATTTTTTTAATAAAAATCCCCTTTAAGAATAATTTAAGTTATCAATAGTCAAAATATATCAGAATCCTCAAGTGTAATTTTTACTTTGTTGCTGGGGCTTTTAAATTAAAGTTAACATCGTTGTGCTTATTGTTTTAAAGCACAAATATTTGGTTAGCTTAATGTTGTCTCTTACTGGGATTTCAGCAAGACTTTCATTGCAGCTTAAGTTAGGAACAAAATTTCCGGAAAACAGAATGTTTCATCTGGATTCTTCTCAAATTCAGATGTGTCTTGTGGTTGAGCATGAAGGAGAAAAAGTGTTGGGGCACTAATAGTTACTGAGTTTCCAAGGAGGTTACTTTCCTCAGTTCCCATACTTGATTGTGTTCCTGCCAACTGTTGAATTTGGTCATTTTGTTTTTGTGCTAGGTAAAAGTCTGGAGAGGAGCACTGGTTTCTATATAGTGTCACAATTTGACATGAATATGTCAAAATGCCTGGTTGTGCTAGTGTCAGAGTATAAAACAAATGAGACAGCACTTGCAGGAAGTTTTTCATCAATGCTCTCAGTTCCCCCCTTCCTTGCTTTTTTTCCGCTGCTTTTTCTTTACATTCAAAGAGCTGATAGATTTTTCATATCAAAATGCTGGCTTTTCCATATTTAACTTTTTTTAAAATTTAAGGCTCAGTGGTATTGATTTTTCTTATTGCACATTCTTTGCATCTCTGGCAGAAGTCCTGGAGGGGATTTGGGAGCGAAGAAGAAGAAAAAGAAGCAGAAGAGAAAAAAGGAGAAACCAAATTCTGGAGGCACCAAATCAGATTCTGCATCTGACTCCCAGGAAATTAAAATTCAACAACCTTCAAAAGTGAGAGCCTGGTTCTGTTTTAATTTGTGCGTGCTTTCTAATTGAATTTTAATTTGCATGTCACTTGTTGTTAAAGTGAGTTGGTAGTTCTGCCTTAGTGTGTGAAATTAAGCAAATGGTTCCTGTCCTGAGCAGAGAGAAGCAAGCCAAGACCTGGTGTTTCAGAGGTGCTATTGCCACCACGGTGGTGTACTGTGAGAAGTGCAGAGGAGTTTTGTCTTTCTCTTTGAGCATTTAGAGCTTGGGCTAGTGACAGCCTCATTGCATAGAATCATAAGAATCATAATCTGTGATGTACTGCTTTTAAATAGATTTTGCATTTGATGAATTGCCTTTAGTTTTTAGCCACCATCTAACTTGGCTTAGTGCAGTTTTGGTCACTTGTGCAGCATGAAGCTCTCTCAGCAGCAGGAGGGAAGGTGGGGCTGCTATGCTAACCAGAGTATCTTTGGGGCAAGCAAGCAGCATGTATTTGTACATAAAATGCATTAATCTTAAATATGGAGATAAGGGCTGAAGAAAAATTTTGCTTTCAGAAAGACCTCCACTATAATTAAGAATGCAAAATTGCTTGTGGGAATGTACAGTCCTTGTGGATTTTCTGATAAAATAGCATTGTCTGTGTGTGCTTTTGTCTATCATGTTCTGAATGAGAAGTGAATAACATGGTGTGGTGCCTTTTTAACATACAGCTTTTATCCCAAGAGAAATCTGAGTGCAAGAACTAAAGTTTGTAAAACTAAGAAAGTTTATGGACTGTTGAGCATATCGAGGTAGTTATATTTGCTTTATCTGATTGTTGTGGAGAATTTTACACCATTATACCAACAGGAGTCTTTGTCCTGTAAGATTTGTCAAGTACATTGGGGCTAGCAACTAATTATTTTAGGGGGAAAAGATTATGTTCTGGCTCATTAGCATAGTGATAGATTTTTGTCTTGTCCCTTTAGATCTTTTCCATGTTACCCTGATTGCTTTGCACAGGCACATTTGGCACAGGGGGCACTTTGTAATATATAGAGAGATCTTAAGTACTTTGCCACATGTTTTGATACTGTCTTTCTGTAAAACATGTCATGAACTGCTAATACAGGAAGGCTGTTGGCAAATGGTGCACAAGTAACCTCACACTCTTACAACTGGCATGAGGTAAATTTTTGTGTTAACATAAAGGCATAGTTCATTGCTACAGTATCCTATGAGTTCCTTGATTTTCTGCCGACAAGGTTATTGTTCCATGTGTTGCCTCTAATTGCATTAAAAGAAAGCTACTTTATAGCTTTTTGCTTTTGTGTGCAAGATTTTAGTCCTGCACCTTGCAGTCCTGCACACCATTTCTCTGATGTGATGTGTGGTGCAAATGTGGAAGCCTAGCCTTGTTCCAAGTTGTGTGCTTAGAGTGGCACTGTTCATGATTATTTTACTGACACAAGTTTAGTCGGTTCATTAGTAACTCACAAAATTTTCTATTTTATTGGCATAAAGAAGTTCTTATATAAGATTTTCTTTCAAGGTCTAGGCAACTAAACCACTTTACTCTTCTTTTATGGCTTTCACTTTTCTCTAGTTACAAATGCATCAACATTGCCTGGGGGGTTATTGTGCCTTCGCTGCTGTGTTGCAGGTCTGTCTTAGACAACTATTCTGTTACAGATTTTTTGAAAGCATCTTAGACTGCTGATCTGGATCTGTGTGGAAAAGTATATTTATTTTTTCTGCTACTCAAGTAATACTTAAATTTTGTATTCATGTGCTGTATGAAATTTAATACAGAAAACAGACTTCTAGTGTTTGCTTGCTCTTGGTTGAAAAGATTATATTTTAGGGGAGAATGACATTGCAGACCTTACCTCTAAGAGACTATATACAAGATCATCAGGCAGAACTCAGTGGGGCTCATTGAAAAGGATTTTGAAAAAGGATTTTGAGGTCATGTGAGTTTGTAAACAGATCTGTCGGTCTGGGGATGAGTAGAGCAGAACAGTGAGTCTCCTTGGCTTCTGCCTTCCTCATGTGTGGTGGTAGTGATAGCAGACCTTTTGAACTCTGGTGTGAGTGTAGTCATAGCAGTAAAGGATTGTTAGCATTGTATGCTTACAGTGACCTTGAGGATACTTCACTGCCCATCTCACAAGACTTCCATCTCTCCCTATCACAAGTTCCAGTGATGTGGGCTGTCCACACTGACACAAAGAAAGCTTGCCATATCTGCAGTCTCATCAGTCATTATTCTAGCCACTAGTGGCCTACACAACCTAGTCACAGGATAATGGATTGGAAGGGCCATCTGAAGGTTTTTTGACCTACCTGCTGCTTAGAGCAAGGCCAGCTAGATCAGGTTGCTTGGTCTCCAAGGATGGAGACTCCACAATCTTTGTGGGTAATTTATTCTGGTGTTTGACTACAGCTTTCAGTTTAAAAAAAAAAAAAGTAATTCCTTATATCTAAATGGATTTTGCTGGTTTGCAACTTGTCTCCTTTGCTTCTTGTCCTATCACTCTGTTCCTCTGAAAAGATTTGGCTCAGCTTTCTTTATACCCTCCCATTAGGCAGTAATAAGATTTATCCTACTCCCTCAACCTTCTATTCTTAAGGCTGAGCAAATCAATGTCTCTCATCCTCTTCTCCTTGTGTGTGATGTGCCTCAGCCCCCATTTATCTTGGTGCCCTCCAGAAAACTTGTAGCAGTCTGTCAATGTTCTCCTTGTAATGGAGAACCCCAAACTGCAAGGTGTGACCTCAGGGATGCCAGATAAAGGGGAAGACTTCCTGGCCATCTCACTGGTACTGCCTAGTATGCAGCTGTCCTTTGCTGGCCAGCAGTCTGCTGGCTCATGGCCAGCCCTCTGCCCACCTGAACCTCCAAGTTTTTTTCTGCAAGCTGCTTCCTAGGCAGTCCATGCTGGCTTTGCATGGGCTTTTTCTATCCCAAATGGAGGACTTTGTATTTGCCTTTGTCAAACTTGATTAAGTTTCTTTTTCCAGCTTGTCAGAGTAGCTTTGAATAGCTGCTCTGTGGTTCAGCATATCAACAATTCTAGAAATTCTTCTTCTAGGTATCATCTGTGCACTTGCAGAGAAAGTACTCTTTGTCAAATCCAGATCATTAAACAGTGTTGATCCCTGAGTCCTCCCCCTTGCATTCTTGAAAACAGGGATGACATTTCCCTTAATCCATTTATAGGAAACTTCCACCAATTGCTATTTTAAACTTAGTAGATGTTAGTTGCACTAACATCAACCAGTTCCCTTAGCATCCTTACATGCATTTGGTCTGTTTTCAGGGACCTATTCATGATTAGTTTGCTGCAGTGCACAGGGACATCCAAGGCCTGAGGCCATCAACAAAACTGAGGCAAAACCACCATTTCCTACCTCAGCCCCACTGCGCAACAGGGCTGTCTTTGCTGTGAAGAGATATTTGCCCTAAACTGAAATTAAACAAAAGAGCTGGTTTTTGTTTTTCTAATTCATGTGAAGTTCTGTGCAGGTTTTCCTTGCTTTCTATTGAAGGAAAACAAAAAGTGTTAAAAGTAAACTTCTTAGTCAGACTGATGTCTGGGTGTTTTGAAGTGAAAGGAATTCCCCCTGATGTCCCTATCCATGATCTATTTAGTACCTGAACATTAATGGGTTACTTACTATTATGGTAGTAAGATCTTTCTTAGGAACTTTTTTTTTATTTTCTGCTTTTTTAATGTAGAAGACATATTATAGACTTTAAATAAATATACAGAATAAATTACAGTGTGTCAGCATTTATTTATGATTTCATGATGTACTGATGAGACTTCAGAATTTATCTAGTGGCATTAGTAATTTATGTCTCTGTTATCCTGATCTAGAAATAAGGTAGGCTTTTTAGGCTGGAACAGTGTTGTTCTAAAGTGTATAAACATGTTAATTCACAGTTACTCAGCTGACAGGTGTTGAAGGCACACTTGCATGTGAAATGTGCAATACTTAAACATTAGGCATTTTGTTTCATTAATTTAGATAATAAAAGTTTATTTTAAATAGTAAGTGATGGGCCGCTTGAGCTCCAGGCACAAAGTTTTGCTCTTTTTGTGATTGACGATACTAGAGGCTGATCATCCAAATTATGCTTCATTATTACATTTATTTTATGGTGGTTTTTCAACTTATGAATCCTAGAAAGAAAGTGAAATATGGAAATAGTAGTCCTTTGCTATTCAGTTAAAAAAAACCAAAACAGTCTGGCTTGAAATCTCTGTGCAGAATTGCTTAAAATTTTCCAGTACATTTGAGACTTCTTTCAGATGCATTATTGCACTGCAGTCTAGGGAAACCTGAGCACAAGCATGCTGTTGGTATGCCTCAGAACAAGACTTACCACTAGGAAGATAACAAAAAAAAGAGATTTAAAAAGAGAGGGAATAATCCTTTAGATTTAGAGGCCTGTTACCATTATTCCGCTGTCCTTTGCAAGAAAAATTCTTATTCCTGTTACATTTTCATAGAGTGATCAAAAAACTCCATGTGTACCAATGGTACCTTTATTGTTAAAAACCTAAACTGACCCTTTTTTATATTTTATTGTGTTTTACCGGGAGAACAGGGACTGTAAGAGGCATTTTTTATTGTGATACACTATCCTCTCTTAATGCTGCTGTATTTGTGTTTAAAATGTTCATGTTTCTTGGTTAAGTGCAAGTACTGCTGACAACTATTTTGTTCATTTGTTGCCCACCTTTTTTCCACCCTCCTGTCTACAAATGTGAGTAAACTAACCATGATGAGAAGAATACCTGTGAGAATAGGTAACAGTAAAAGAAATTAACATGTTTGTACAGCTATTCATGAAGTAAACGTACTCAATAAGCTTCTGTTCTGTTTGTCTATTTGTGCAGAATCCAGCCATTCCAATGCAGAAGCTTCAAGACATCCAGAGAGCAATGGAGCTGCTCTCTGCATGCCAAGGCCCAGCAAAGAATATTGATGAGGCTGCCAAACGTAAATACCAGTTTTGGGATACACAACCTGTTCCTAAACTTAGTAAGTTTAACTGGATCTGTGTGAAAGAGCTGTCTTATGATCGCTAAAGAAATGTTGTGCTAGCTCTGTGACATGTTCTCTAAAATAGGTAAAAAGTTGGACTCTGTGTGGTAGGGATCCTTAGTCTTTTGTGTAGTTTATGTGCAGTTCTTGATGCTTTCCAGGGAAGTGGTTGTCTTCCCCACAGATAATGTGCAAGATACAGTGTTAATAAGTCTCATTCTGATGTCCTCTGGAAAAATGAGAAATGCTATTGAAATAGCATTCTTTTGTGTATTTTAGGTCTGAAATATTGAACAATAGAACATAGAAGTCTTTTTCACTTTAGGAGAAGTAAGAACTCTTAGGTGGTGACAAAGAGTAAACTTTAATTTTTTTATTAGTAGTATTTGTTTTGTTTGTTTATTTGTATTTCCTTAATTTTTTTTCAATAAATGGATTTGCTATCACAGAAGCAATGCCTCTCCTGCCATAGGTTGCACTGTTTTCATACAGCTTTAAGTAGACAGTGGCACTTGTCAGATACACAGCCTCTTTCTCTGCTGTGTGTTCATGTTCTCCTCCACAATGTACACTACCTTGAAGACATGCTTTCTCAGATTCTGCTCTCTGTTCTTGATTCCAAGTGAGATAATGAGGTGATCTCTCCTTGCCTTTAAATTTATAATGAATTTGACAAATTATTTTTATGTTGATCTGATCCCTGATAGCGCAGTTGGTAAATCTCATTGTTGGAGGAAGTAGTTGCTGACTATCTTGTGTTTTCTGTGTTGCTTTCTGAACCTTCTTTTTCTACTTTCATTATCTTCAAGGGAAGCATTTACAGCTTTTCAGTGTGAACATAGCTTGGGGTCCCCACAGGTAAAACATTCTCAGAACAGTAACTGGTGCTGCACTATCCTATAGATTTCTCTCCATTGCACTGGAGACTGGTATAGAATAAGCAGAAATAAGGTAGAGTCTAAAGCACAGCAGCACTCTGCTCACTCTCTCTCCACAGGCAGCTTTTCACATTAATCCATGGCTATAGCTTAATCTGCATCAGTCTCATTTCTTCCTGACTTTTCTTGCATAGAGAAGTCCAGAGCAGAGCCCCTGGATACAGTATTTTCCTCTGGACTGGATTGAACTGAACTGACCTGCCATGGCTTTTCTCTGTACAAACACTATCCAAATACCTGCATAAAGTAACGGTGGTAATCATCACCAGCAATCCAGCCTAAGTGGAGAAAGACCCTAGCCAAAATCAGTTAAAGTGTAAATCAGAAAAGGCTCTGGCCATAGTCAAGGTTTTCCAGAGCTAGTTCAGGTGTCTGTGCAGTAGTGCAGGAGTTCAGTTCAGGCTAATCAATGTATCTTTCAGCACTTAGAGGGGAGAGTCTGTCACTTGCCAGGCTAAAAAGGCCCATACAGTGGCTCAGAAAATTATTTGTTAGTGTTGTTCAGTGGAAATATGTTTCATTGAATTTGGTCAGTGAGGTTTTGTCCAACAGTCTCTATGAATTTCTTCTAAATCCCACAGATTTTTTAGGCTATTCTTTATCTGCTGAATGAACAGATTATGAAGTCATCACTAGTTGATATGCTTTATGTGTTTAGGTGGAAAAAATAACTTATCAATTCAAGAAAATGTTGTCAGGATCTTTGCATTAAACTCACTTCAGAATCCTCTGGCCTTCAAGTTAAAACTTTTAGCAATAGGTCCTTTAGTTATGTCAAACCTGCCATTTAGTGGCAGTAATATTTGGGCTGTTGATACTTTTTAGAGTTTGCTTAAAAATGCTAATAATTACGATCTTCCAAATTGGATGGCAGGCCATAACTATTAGTCAGGATTGTGCATCATGTGGAAAAATTCGTACTCAAAGGAAAATTGACTGTCTAGTTTGATGATTGCTGACAGCACAGTTGAGTGTTTACAGGTAAGAATCAGAGAGAAGGCCAACAGGGCAGGTGCCATGGTGTGAGTCAGTTCTAGACCTCTGAGCCAGGATGAAGTGGCAAATGAAATATTCTTTAAACATCTGGCAGAAGTCTCACAATCACTTGCCTTTGTTCTCATTGGGACTTCAACGTACGTAGGATTTACTACAGTTATAAGAGTGACTTAATTATAGATTCTTAATTATAGATTCTAGATAACAGCATTCCTTCTATATTCAACTCACGTTGCACACAGGCACAGAGTTGTTTACATGCCACTGTGTTCAAAGGTGCCTGTTAAAAATTCCCCTTGAGCCCAGTGACATACATTGAGTCCCTTGCATTTGTCAGCAGGCAGGGGCTGAGCTTTGAGGAGTGGAGGGTGTCACTGCAGGCCTCATGCTCAGCAGGTCTTCAGAGCATCACAGCCTTGAGAGTATGCAAGAGATCCCTCTCAGAGGGAGGAGCTGGTGCAGCCCACTGTGGTCCAGGGCACTGTAAAGGGTCTCACTTAGGGCCACTCTTCATAGGATTGCCAGATAATTGGCTTTAATCATCAGTAAGTTTCCCTCATGGCGGTAACCCATGTTGGTAACTGCTTTTTGAAAAAAAAAAAAGCTGAAAAATCCCATCCAGTAACACTGATACCAATATCACTTGGGCTACAGTTTAGGTAAATGGTGTTCCAAGGCTGTCAGGGAATAGCTGGTTATTAGGGAATAACTGCTTATCCCTTGTTCCCCACCTTGTTCAGGCAAATGATGATCCTGATACAGTCAGTGTCACTCCCACCTTTACTGTGCAGGAGTTCCTGTTAACAGTCAAGGGACATTTCACTGCCCAGCTGGTTTGGTCAAGGCTTACTGGGAACTCTTAGAGCAGGCCCAAGGATGAATGCAGAGATGCACCACCAAAGGGACTGCAAGGATGCTGAGGGTTATGCAGGGAGAAAATCAGGAGGTCCAAAGCCTGACAGTGAAATCTGACTTAAAGGACAACGCTAAAAGAAAGACATTGAGGTGCTGGATTGAGTCCAGGGGGGGACAACAAAACTGGTGAAGGGTCTGGAGCACAAGTCTGATGGGGAGTGGCTGAGGGAGCTAGGGTTGTTTAGCCTGGAGAAAAGGAGGCTCAGGGGAGACCTTATCACTCTACAACTCCCTGAAATGAGGTTGTGGCCAGGTGGGGGTCAGCCTCTTCTCACGGCTAACAAGTGCTAGGACAAGGGGAAACTACCTCAAGGGGAGCTGTGCCAGGGAGATTAAGATGGGATGTTAGGAAAAATCTGTTCACTGAAGGATGGCTGAGAATTGGAAGAGGCTCCCTTGGGAAGTAGTGGGGTCACCATCCCTGGAGGTATTGAAAAGATATGTAAATATGATGGCTAGGAACGTGGTTTAGTGGTGGGCTTGGCAGTGTAAGGTTAGTGATTGGACTGATCTTACAGGTCTTTTCCAATTTGTATGATTTAGTAGGTGCTGGTCCTTAGAAGAGGAACAGCTGCAGCTTATTAGTGTATGCTGAGGACTGGTGCTGTAAAGTAAGGGAGGAGAAGAAAGCATGCCTTCAAGTAGGATTTTAGGAATACATTTCACATGCCAACAGTATCTCTGAAATGCCCTCAGTTTGCTATGTCACTGCTCCTGAGTAATCCTGTTGAGTTCAGGTCTGTTCAAGTCAGCAGTAAACAGGATCTGAGCCACAGGTTGTCAGCTGTGAGTACATGTTCTCATGATGAGGCTGTGGAGCTCAAGGCTGGCTAAAAGCTGTGCATGTGCTGATAAGTTGTTGTCACTTGTGTTATGAAATGCAGGGTATCAGTTGAGATGGAGTGGTTCTGTGCATATCTATAAATATTATGATGAGACAGTCATTAGTCTGAAAGTGGTCTATGAGAATGAGAAGTAGTGTAAACTAATAATACTAATTTTTTCAGCATTTTTAAAAAGCTTCTTGTTCCATTTACATAATTATGAGGAAATACATGATGTGAATTAAATGTAGTTACAGAACTATCAGGAAAGCTAGCAATGTAAGTTTTTTGGTTTGTTTTTTTTTTCCTCTTCCTCCCTCAAAAGATGAAGTCATAACTTCACATGGTGCAATTGAACCAGATAAGGATAATGTCCGCCTAGAGCCATATTCTTTGCCACAAGGTTTTATGTGGGACACATTGGATCTTAGCAATGCTGAAGTTGTAAGTAGAACAATTTTTATATGTATCTAAAATAATTCAAGTTTTTTCTGATTGATATGTGGATAAGTCTTTGGATTTTTTTTGTGTATGTTTTCAGCTGAAGGAGTTATACACACTATTAAATGAGAATTACGTAGAAGATGATGATAATATGTTTAGGTTTGATTATTCACCTGAATTTCTTCTGTGGTGAGTAGCAAGTTCCACATTTTGTTCTGGCTGGAGTGCAGTGAAGGGTGTTTTTATTACATCTTCTTAGGCAGTAATTTGTAATTATTTCTGTCATCAATTCTAGGGCATTGCGTCCTCCGGGCTGGTTACCGCAGTGGCACTGCGGGGTTAGAGTGTCTTCAAACAAAAAGCTGGTAGGATTCATAAGTGCCATCCCTGCAAATATTCGTATTTATGACAGGTAAAACGCACCAGTACTTTTGTATTTGTTAAAGAATGATGCCACAAAACAAACCTTGAACTGGTATCCATTGCTATAGAGAACTTAAAAAGAGAGAACAAGGTGAAGAGCACTAATGTTTCGTTAAGGAATTTTCTTAGTGATGGCTGATACAGATAATGCCATACAATATTCTAACCCTGCTGAAAAGCATTTCTAGTTGATCAGCTGGGCTTCTTGGCCAAGTCTTCATACTCTGACAAACATAAAGCATTGTGACTTCACATAGCATTGCTTGGGTGCTATACTGCATCTTAAAGTAAAGCAATCAGTTAAGTCTTGATAGACCTCTGGTAAAGGAGTATTGCAAATCTCTTAGGTATAGCTTGCATATTGCAATTTATCATTGCAGTCACATAGGCACAGATTAGTGTTCATTGCAGATGTACTTTGTCACAGGCAAGTTTATTTAACTTCAAATTCTTCTGTCAATATGGAAAATTGTAATTATAAAAATGGAAACATGCAGTGTGTAACTCTCTTTAATTTTTCCACTACGTAATGTCTTTTTAGTGTGAAGAAAATGGTAGAAATCAATTTTCTGTGTGTCCATAAGAAACTGAGGTCTAAACGGGTGGCACCTGTATTGATTCGGGAAATAACCAGAAGAGTAAACTTGGAAGGAATTTTTCAGGCTGTTTACACTGCTGGGGTGGTACTTCCCAAACCTGTGGCCACTTGCAGGTAACCTAGGTGATGTTCTTAATATTATTGGCTCCTATAACAGTCATTTTTAAGAACATTTAATGCGATTGTCTAAAAAGAGTAAAAGCATAAAATTCAAAGCTGTTAAATGTTGTGGCCTTGACTAACCTGAAGGCCTGAGTGTTTGTTATGTTGGGTTTTTTTGGTGTTGGGGTTTTTTATCCCCCCTTCCCTCCCAGTGCCTTGGATAAAACAGCTTCTCAGACTAAAATTTAATTTGTGGTTTGTTTAGCATACTTTAAATAGACTAACAGATGTTTCTGTTGACCTTTTGGTGGCAGCCATGCTAGCAATGACAACATTGTATACCTGTGTTTTTCAAGTGGCCTGTGTCTTTACTGGGACACTTCCCTGTTAACCTGGTTGCTTGCCAGACATGGCAGAGCATTTCTGGTAATTGTATGATTTGCTTTTTTGAAATACTTTCATCATTCCTGGACAAAGGAGGACTTTATTAGCACTTAAAAAGCACAGGAACACTACCATGTGGGAGGAGTTACAGTCAAATGAAATTATATTTGCTTGGAATCGATTTTATTTCTACTTGGAAAAGTTCAGTTCCTGCACTTTTAGTCCAGCTGTTTAGGCTTCTGGAGGACAGAGTTCCTTTTGATTTGAAATTGTTTTGTACCTATCAACACCAAAGATCCTGTACGTTTCTGTAAGGAATGATGAGGGTGGGAAATGTAAAGCTTTGCTCTGTTAGAATAACCAGAGATGCTCTGTTGCACAATGACCTCCCAGGAAAGGGAAAGCTCCTTCAAAAAAAATGCTCAGACATGAGCAGAGGGTCCAGTCTGCAGAAGAAAATAAATGTTGCTATGTATATATGGTGAGTTTTTCAGGGCTGTGACAAATGCTAAAATGTTTAGCCCTCTGCTTATTCATTCTGTATCAAAAAGCATTTGCTTAGATTGAAAATACTGTGATAGCAGGTTTGTTTTAAAACCTATTAGCTTTTCCTTAATTTTTAAATTTTTTTTGTTAATCAGCCTTCTTATAGATGTAGTACAGGCTTGCTAAAAACAAATTTGGAGTGTTGAAAAGGAGGAAGCAAGAAAGCAGGGTAATGGATGCAAATGACACTGACACTTAAAATACTATTTAAATTTGTGATTTGGTTGTATTTCCAGGTATTGGCATCGATCACTAAATCCCAGAAAATTAGTGGAGGTGAAATTTTCACATTTGAGTAGAAACATGACTCTACAAAGAACAATGAAGCTCTACAGACTTCCTGATGTAAGCAGTATGACTTCTAGAGAATCCCCACAGTTATTGTGAGGCCCAAAATAACCTTCCATCTGTCTCTGACAGCACAGGCTTTTCTGTGTAAAGGCAGTGCATGCTGGACATTAAAAAATAATCTCTGGTTGATGAAAAGGACCTTAAGGGCTATACTAAACAGAAGAGACTATTGCTGGAAATCTGGATCTCTATGGAGAAAATACAAATTTTAACCTAAAATCCTTAAACAAAAAAAAGAAAAAACAGAAAGCTTGGCTTCACAAACATGTGGGATTGAGTTGAAGATGCATAAGACTATTCTTGGTATGTTTAATCTGATAAGAGATTACTGGAACAGAAAATCAACAGTTCATGTCATAACATTCTCAGAGAAGTCCATCAGCAACTTGGCTGATACAATTGTATTGTTGATTCCACTCTAATTCACATTTTTTCCTGTACTGTCAGAGAGTGTTGTTCTTCTGCATTGAGCAGGCTCAGTGAAAGCCACTTTAGAATGTTGTGCACTGTTAATTTGCATGGTCTAGTAAAAACCAAGTATTCTGGCATAGCTAGGTTAGTAAAATATTTTTTCTCATATTTTCAGCTAATAGTTAAGCTTGCAAAAAGACTTGGGGTACATTTCCATGACAGGGCAAGTCACTGTAAATGCTATGTACTGTTAAAAAATGTCATTGCTGTAATTAATAGCCTGTAGAATTTAGTCTGAGCTTCATGGCTGAAAACAATTTATTTGCTTATAAAAGCAACCTTTTTTGAAGAGATTGCAGAGTATCCCTTACCTGTACCTTATCAGTAAACCTCTCTTTATTTCAACAAACCCTCTCTTTTAGTTAAAAACAATACCTTTTTTCCTCACTCACAGTATTTATAATGATTGATCTGGTTTTGGAGAATTGTGTCTGTTGCTCTATTTGAGTTGATGCTGCAGATATCTGAGCAGCAGGCTGAGCAGCCCTTGGAACAAAGCACGTGCCATGCCCAGATCCGTGCTCCTGCTGCTGTGGGAGAGCCTCGTTTCCTGCTCCGCCTGCTGCCACCTGCGCTGCACACGCAGCTTCTCCCTTGTGTGCAGGGCAGCACTTAGAACCAAATTAATTGGGTTTTCATCTTGGGCACCTAAATATAGCTTCCATCAAATCTTGAAGGTATTTTTAACAGTCTGAAGAGTGCAATATACATTTTCAAGTGTAGATTTTGGTGGCAGCTCTAGTAACATTGCTTATGGAAACTGAGGAAGTGATTAAAACATAAGGATCTTACTTGTAGTACCAAAGGTGTAACTACAGAGAATCATAGAGAAATAGCAGTTGTATCCTGATCATTTTCCTTTATCATAAAACCAAGTTTCAACAGAGGAGTGAATTATGGAAAGTAACTAATATATCATTATATCATTATCTCACCCATAAAATATAGCTAAGGCAAACATGCACATAGAAATACAAATAGAAATAGGTGTTCTCAAAATCAGCTTTTAAAACTAAGAGATGTAGGAGTTCATACATCTCAGAATTTGTTATTTTTAGGTTGGATTTGGGAGCTTCTCAGTGGAAAATAAAGATTTAATCTTTGTTCTGATGTTTTCTCTTTAGATCTTGTGCTTTGGGCTTATTTGGAGGCCTTTTTTTTTTCCTGAGAAGGGGATTAAGTGATGTTGAAGGTTTTCCTCCTCAGTTTCAGGCAGTTATAAACACTACTGTCAAACAAATTTGTCCTTTCAGTTCATGCTGTCCTGTCCCTCAGCACCAAACACTGTTTCTTGCATTTTAACCTCTTTTCTTAATGTCCTTGGAATATCATTGCCACTAGGAGCTCATCTCCCTTTAAGAGAATTAATCATTCCTAATCACTTGAACAGCCTGAATTAAAAATGTTTTCAGGTGTAATAAATACTGTAATTAATAAATATCACCCTCCCTAAAGGCTGTGCGTGTACCTATAGATACAAAAAATAAAAGTGTTTCTTTCCTAAGTGTTTAAACTCTTGAGCAAGGAGTTTTCTGGAAGAAGTAAAATTTGTCAGTATTTAGAGTCAGGACAGGAGTGTGTTTGTCTCTGTTGTATTTTCCTGACCAGGTGAGATCCTGATGCTGGACAGTCACATGATTATGTGCCCAGAGAAACAAATTTGAGCACAGTTCTGTACACTTCCCCTCACCTCTGGGTTTGCAAATAGTCACTTACTGGTGGTGATTCTGAGCATTACTGGGGGGAAAAAGATCTTCCACCCCAGCTGCTTTTCCTCCATCCTTCCCGTATGTCAAGTGTACACCCTTCTGGAATGAGGGCATTTAAAAATACAGATGATGTGCTGTTGTGGAGTCAAAACATAGTCCCAGGCTGCCTGGAAAAGCAGGAAGACTGAAATGTAATGCACAGGCTAGAGCTGGGGCAAAATGTGCCTTGATTTCTCATCTGGCTGCTGACTCCCAGAGTGCAGGAATAAACATCTCCCCCAGAATAATGCCTTTTGGGCAAAGCATAATCAGCTACACTCATTGCAGGCTTCCAGTAATCAAGTCTCTACCTGGCTGCTCTTGCCATCAACTTTGCTGTGATTAATGTGGTACGTGCCCAAGTGTGTGGCTCACACAGATGAGGCAGCATAAATCAGCACTGAAGAGAGCAAGCATTAGCCCCCCCAAAAGGAATTATCCAGGAAGGCTGGCAAAAGATGGGAGGAAAACTTTAATCACTTATGCTTGTTTAAACAATAATTGCATAATACTAGAAAGTAATTCTTTCCTTTTCTGATGTTTAAAGTTAGAAAAATATTTGTTAAAATAGGTTTTTAGTTTCAGGCAGCTGTAAGTTATGAGAAGCTTTCTTGTTACCAGAATAGCAATTATGCCTGTACAGAAGGTTGTTAGCAAGGAAGTTTACAAGTGCTAAAAATAGGTAGAATCTTTTTTTGTTAAATAATTTCTAATTAAACCTTATCAGCTGACATTGATGCATATTTTAACTGTAATTTCCAAAAGTTTGAATTGCATGTGTTCTTGTCTTGAGATAACTTCTGATATGCAAGTTTCTTTGTTTTGTTTCAGTGTCTGGGCCCCATGTAGTTTAGAAGAAGATTAGAAATAGATTGACCTAAAAAAAAAATTACAAACTGCACAAAGTGTAGGCAGTTGGTGATGGTGTCTTTCTCTGGAGAAATGAAGCTGTTTCAATAATGAAATTAAAAGATTGAAGTGGTCCAGACTGTCCCAATAATTAGAAGAGAGGGAATTCTGATTGAAAGCCGTTTGTAAAATAGCATAATGAATTAGGTGGCTGGGATAAAGTAGGCTAATAATGAATGCATTATAGCAAGTGGAGTGACTCTGCAACCTACTTTCAGCCTTTGCTGTGTGTGCAGTTTTCCTTTTAACATCCTAACATTTATTTTTCTTTTTTTTCACTAAGGCCACAAAGACTTCAGGTTTGAGACCAATGGAACAAAAAGATACTAAAGCAGTACAAGAATTAATCAATACTTACTTGAAACAGTTTAATCTTGCTCCTGTGATGGATGAAGAAGAGGTGGCTCACTGGTTCCTGCCTCGGGATCATATTATTGACACTTATGTGGTAGAGGTAAAATATGCACTAACATATATTAATGTGAGTGTCCCTCAGTAGTTCAGAGCACTCTGCACTCAGAGTGCCAGACAGTAGTTCTTATCAGCATCAAGATTTTGAAATGCAGGCAATATGAAATATGTGTGTAATAGGTAGAATTTGATACCATGAGTACAAGCTTTGTTCTTTGTATTACATTCTCTTAATAAGAAAATGTTTGCCTGTGATAAAGTGCAGTGCTCTTATAATAGAATATCTTAAAGAAGAATTCTGAAATATCAAAACATCATTATCTTGACAAGAACCATACATATTTGAAGATCAACTTTTCCACCTGCATTTCTTGATTATTTTTTACAGAGCTATAACATGATACTAGGCAGTGGTCTTCAAACCTCCTTTTCTAGAAAAAAGGAAAAATGATGCCATGACTGAGATGAGGATTTGGTTTGGATTGGCTATCATTCTCCCAGGTGTACACGTTTCTGCCATACACCATTACAAAATTCTGTTTTAAAAAAACTAATTTTAGAGGCATCTGCTGGGGGAATTATGTTTTTTGATGGTTTGCTTTCTTTTACACACTGGTAAAGTGTGTTTTTTTCCAGTAAAAGAACGTGTATACGTATGTGTATGAATTAGTGTATATATAAATATATATATACATACATACACATCTACCACCCCCACCCTCCAGAGAGTTGGTCATAATGCTTCTCTCAAAATAAGGAGTGCAGGAATAGGAGTGCATTTGAATTGGAAATCACCCAGACATGTTTGGAATAGGTGCACTAAAGTCAGTGGAAATATACACCCTTCTCTTTGAGTCCATACAAAATCAGTTGTAGACAACATATTTAGACAGTGTATTACTTTGCTTAAAGTGATAATGTTATTTTAAAATGATCAGGACTAACATCCCTAAACATTCTCCTCAGAAAAGCCCTAGGTTGTGAAGCTCAGTGTTCCCACACTGTAACCTGAATTTGTGCAGGAGGCTCAGCTGAATTAGGGAACCTAGAGCTGCTGGAGATGAGTGGTCCTGCTCATCAGTTTTTATTGTCCAGATTTAGCTTTCTGCTTTGCAGTGGGTCTAGTGCTCACTGGACTTTTCCATGGTCTAATTTATAGTCCCACCTTCTTTCTCCACTCCCTCTTCTCCCTGCCCTCTGCCCAGCTCCCTGAGTTGGTTTTTGGCTTGCTTTGTGAGTTGAAGCCTACAGGAGAGTTCACAAGCACCAGGATTAGCATGAATGTGACATTAACTACACAGCATAGTCTTCACTTACTTGTTTTGTGCTGTTGTTTGGACTAGTTTTTTACTATACAAAATGTAGATTTGTTAGTGCTTAAAATCTTTTTTAAGACCTGTGTGACCTGGAGAAGCTCCTGTCAGACTTTTAAGTCATCTTTGTCATGTGCAGATCTAAGACCTTAAAATACTCTATATAATTTATGAGTTAATATTTTTGTCATCCTTACTGAATTTAGTGAGTGACTCAATAACTTTTCTGTTCCTTGTAGTTAGTATTACTCTACTACAGAATCTGTACCTGCTCTAAGACAAAAGCTTTTTTGCATATGGTATGTTCAACTGTTTTACATTTTACTGTAGAAGTACTATTAATTTAAGGAGCCATCTGACGTCCTTCATTAAACTCTAATTAGTAGTTACTAGTCATTCAAAAGTAAAGCAAATAAGCAAGAAGAAGTATTTGTGTGTCTCCTTTACCTTATTTTCTTGGAGATACTCTGGGGAGTTTTTATTAATATCCTTTGTATACCAGCACAGTATATTTTTTCTCTGTTTTTAGAAAGATGAGAAAAATATTCTTTGATGTGAATGTCATCAGGTTTTTAAAATATCCATAATATTTTAAGAATATTTCATTAAAAATGAGTTCAGTCAGAAAAAAACTTTGATACTTTGAGTGGAAGTGTGCTTTGTTAGCTTTGTCCATAGAAAACTAGTGCTTTGACAATTGTTTGTCAGAATGTTAGTGGTGTAATAGACTAGAAAAATCTAAATGTTTGTTTCCTCTTAGCTCAGACTAGCTGCTATACCATAGTACTTACAGTACACAAACCTTGCTGCATTTATTGCTCTCTGTGGAACTGTCACATCAGCCTAATCAGTAACTGATTACTTATTAATGGACTTTTTTGTTTTGGTGTTTTATAGGGTTCAAATGGTATTTTAACAGACTTCCTCAGTTTCTACACATTACCTTCAACAGTGATGCATCATCCTGTTCATAAAAGCCTCAAAGCTGCCTATTCCTTTTACAATATTCATACAGAGACTCCCCTGTTGGACTTAATGAATGATGCACTCATTATAGCTAAATTGGTAAGTTGTAGGTTGGTTTTTTTTCTGCTTCATTTACAGAAGTATTCCTAGGAATAGTGGCAAGGTAAGAACTGGAGTAATTTATCCATGCCAGTGCATTTACAGCACAGAGTGCAGTTGAGACATATACTATATATATATATAAATATAAAGCAGTATGCTTGTTTTCCTTTTTACTCTGAGTGATGCTGGGGAATGACAAATGCATAAAGTATTTTCATTAGCTTGAACTGTGGATACACGCAAGAACACACTGATGACCATAGTCACTAAGTATCAGAGGAATGAAAAGTATCACTAAAATAATTTCCCTTGGAGATGAATTAATAAGCACTATCAAAAACATTTTGCTTTTTTAGATTATTTTTTGTTCCTAAAAATTTAGAAATTTATTTGTGTGAGCTTTATCATGTTACCATTGCTCTATGTAAAGCTCTGTAGATGATGTCATGGTGTAGCTTTTAAGCATACCCTTAGGTATGGAGTTATACTGATAGATGTTTGGTTGAATGGAAGGGAAAAGACTATAAATGAAGTTCTTAAACAGAAGAATTTTGAGAGTTTTGTACTGTCTAATAAAAAGCTATCTCTCAGCTCTTAGTGACTGTGGTTTCATGGAAGTGCAGCACTAACACCAGTGGCACATGCCAGCACTCTGAATTTGCACAGACCTGTTTGCCCTGGGTGCTTCAAAGCACTGCACAGGCTTCCTGTGGTCCATGGCACCCACTCTGCCACCATTCCCAGCAGGCTGCAGGCACAGGAATGTTCTCTGCTCCTCCTTCCTGCCCTGCTGGTGCTGTTACAGCCTCCTGAGGAGTGCCCTGGCAGGCCATGCTCCAAGCTGCCTGCACCTGCCACAGAGGTTCCTGTGCTGGTTCTGGATGAAGCCAGTGATGGTCTGCAGAGGCTGTATCTGTTCAGACTTCAGGCTGCATCAAAGCAGCCACAGAATCTTCAGCCTGTCTGTCCCAGCCATGTTCATGCAGCACTGCAACTGAGCTGCCATCTGTGATGGGAACTGCTTGCTGAAGCACTTCAGTAACTGTTTGTCAGGGAAAACCCCTGGATAGTTATTGGAAATATGGTTATTCAGGCTCCAGAATGATCCAAAAGGAAGTTCAGAGACAGACTTTGAGAAGGCAGTATAATTTTCAGGAGTGGCTAAAAATACTGGTAATTATTCTTAAAAGTCAAGGTTGGAAAAGTGTTAGTCTGGGTTAGAAGTGTGGCACAGGGAGCTGTGTGTCTGGCCATTTTCTAAGCTGTGTGTCTGGCCATCCTCTAGGCTGTGTGTCTGGCCATCCTCTAGGCTGTGTGTCTGGCCATTCTCTAGGCCATGGTGGGACAGGTGAGGGGGCAGTTCCATGGTCTGACCCCAAGGCTTTGCACCTTCCCCTGCATACGTTTCTCTCTCAATGAGACATGCAGCTCTTTCCTTTTGAGCAGATCATCCTATATCCCTTGCAATACTGGGATTTAGACACCTGTGGATTTCTTAAGTACCTGCTGTGCCTGTAATGCATCATTAGATGCCTAATTATAGTTGCAGATCTGGCAGTTGAGTTTTCCATGAGGAGAGCTAAGGCAGCAGAGATGATAATGCATCCTATTGTTTACAAACACAGTGAGTCTGGCTGGGATGGAGTTAACCTTGTTCCTTGCAGCCATATGGTGCTGCACTTTGTCACTGAAGCAGGGCTGATCACACACCAGTGTTTTGGTTGTTGCTGAGCAGTGCTTGCACAGCCTCAAGGCTTTCTCTGTCCCCTGCAGTGAGGAGGCTGAGGGTGGACAAGAAGTTGGGAGGGGACATGAACACACCTGTCACAGGACAGGTGACCCCAGCTGACCAAAGAGATGTTCCACTCTGCTCCACAATCAAGGCTGAAGGAAAGGAGGAGGAAGGGAGGATGCTTCCAGCATTAGCATTTATGTTCCCTAACAATCATTATGCATGCTGAGATCTTGCTTCCCAGGAAATGCTTTGACATCTGTCTGGCAGTGGGAAGTAGTGAATGTATTCTTCTTTTTTGCTTCCCTTGTGCCTTCAGCTTTTGCCTTCTCTGTTAAACTGTCATTATTTCAATTCACAAGACATCTTACCTTCCTTCTATTTTCTCCCCATCCTGTGGGAGAGCAGTAAAGCAAAGGCTGTGTGGGTGTTTGGCTCTTGTCTGGGGACAGTCTCCACCACAGTCTCCTTTCTGTACTTTAACTCCAAAGAATGGGTTTTGGAGATACAAATTCAGCTCAGCAAATTGATTTAAGGTTTTGCATGCCAGCTAATGTTTATTTTTATCTTCAAATCACACTATGTAAAATTAATTTAGAATTAGTTTGGCCGTTACAGGACAAAACACCTGACCTTCAAAGTAAAACCCAAAATTTGGAGTTATTAATTAAGGTTCTATGCATTCTGCATGGAGAGAGAGTGAGATTTTGCATCAGGATAACCCCTGTAAAACGCTGCATATTTTATTGTGGAAACTGACACAAAGTTTCTAGATCTAGAACAGAGGAAAGAGATTCTCTTCTGAGTCAGGTTAAGTGATCTGTCAGAGCTGTGGGCAAAGTACCTTGAAACAGAAACCTTTTCATCCCTCTCAGAAGATCCTAACCTGAAACTAATCTGCTGATATTTAGATACTGAATTAAAAATCTGTAGAGTTTTGTTTGAATTTGGAGTGTTTAATTGCGGACCTTAATGTGCTTGTATCTAGAGTGTGTCTCTATTCTCCCCCAACTTCCCTTCCTGCCTTCTGAGACAGGCAGCCTTCTTGCTGTTACTGTTACTTGGAATATTTCAAAATTTACTTTCAATGCCAAATGTCAAAAACTGCCACCTCATTTGTCTTATTTCTGTTTTTCACAGCACATTTAACTTAGCATGGTGTCATCTGCACACAATGATCTTTGTGTAAAGTAGCAGGATGCTTTACTAAACTCACTGTCTGTGCTTTGTAACTTTCTTTTAAATAGTCCTGAGGAAGAGCTTAAGTGCTCTTTTTCTTCAAACCCTCTTTTTTCCTAATATGGGATGCTCATTTAAAAGAAAAAAAATCTTTTTTTTTTTTACTGAGTAAAGAATGTTCCCTACCCCATCTTATTGTGCTTAAGTAATTGAGCATTTTTGTTTTGCACCTTTTGTCTTAAAAGTGTATCATGTCCTGCTGGTGCTGTACCTTTGTGCTGTTAAGACTCCAGGAGCTTAGGTCAGAGTCCCTTGTAGTTAATTGCAAATAAATGGATTTTATATCCACACCCCTGAGCAAATTCAGCTCTCCATGTGTGATGATTATTGCTGCAATGGCTTACCAGCCCTGGGCTTTAGGTTGCTTGCTAAGAGTTCCCAGTGAGGAGAAAGGATTTGAGTATGTGTCGATGGAGGAAAAACTCTTGAGACTGATTTGGCTGCATGCCTCTTCTGAGGCAAAAAATGTCTTTTTGTGGTGAATTTGGGAGGTTTATGAATGAGGATTTGGTAGAGAGTGCACAAGTAAGGGAGGGAGAATCACATGAAAGATTTGAGTTCTAAAGAGAATGGCATTTCAGAAAAGGACTAAATCACAAAGTTATGTTTATCATTAACAGAATGATCAATTGCTGAAAAACACAGTAACTGTATTTATGAGCTTCAACTAGAATAGGCCATATGTGTCAAAACACTGTATGTGACTGTAAAAAATGCATGTCTCTAAGGGTAAAATAATGGAAAATGTTTTAGGGACTCTTTAGACATTAGGCCCTGAAAATGGCTTTAAAATTTATACCCTTTTGGAGCTAATCTTCAAGCACAGATGTGCATTATACTTTAGTTTTTATTGAGAAATGTCTTTGTGTGTGTACCTAATTAAAAGGCAAGATTTATTCCATTGTATTTTTTCCTTTTAATTAGCCTAAGTCTCTTGGATACCATATGCCACTCTGTAAAGTATCATTTGTGTGTCATTTGAAAATTTCAAAAGTAAAATTTTAAAAATGTTTTGCTGTTGCCAGAAAGGATTTGATGTGTTCAATGCACTAGACTTAATGGAAAACAAAACATTCCTGGAAAAGCTCAAGTTTGGGATTGGAGATGGAAATTTGCAGTATTACTTGTACAACTGGAGATGTCCAGGCATGGAATCTGAAAAGGTAAGGGAGAAAAATGAGTTCCTGAATTCCATTAGATGAAATGGTACATTAATTTACACTGGCCAACAATGGGCAGAAGTTTTAAAAATACTGTAATTGGCCCTGTTTATGATCCATAATTGAGATGCAGAAGACTGCTTATGTTTAGGTTTACTGCCATACTTGAACTAAAATACCGTATTTTTCTTCTTCCTTTAGGTTGGTCTTGTATTACAATGAGAACGCTTATGTTTCTAGAACTCTTGAGGTCATCCTTTGAGTTAATTTGATCTCCATAACTCTTGAAATGGTCTTGTTCAAGAGGAGTAAAAGCACAACGTCAGTGATACTGAAATAGTCCATTAAATCTGATCAATGAAGACATCCACATGTGACCAAATTTATGCATTTTCAGATAGATCAGACGGTTCATGAAACTCTTCTATTGTCCATGAAAAGAATAAAAAGCACATTCATTTAAGTTTCAAAGCTTAGCTTGATCCTGGATGAGAAGAAGGTATTTTTTTCCACTCTGTAGAAAAGACTGTTTTGTATAAACTGAACTTCAGTGGTGGATTAGGGTACAAAAATATTTGCTATTATGTGGATGAACTGCTGCATTTCTATTTATTAAGTGGTGATGTATGTATGTCAGTGTAACAGAATGAAGGATACAAACTGGAGTATCTTTGCTTATTTACTTAACATGGATATCATCATTTGGGGGAAAATGAAGTATGATACCTTTGTAGCTCTATGAAAGTCCTGGATGTTTTTGTAACTGGAGCAGTATGACAGTGTACTGGTTTAACTAGTGCATTTGTTTCTCCATAAGCAACGCTGCCAAATCAATAAAAAATACAGATTTGTACTTTGATCTTCAATAGATCAGTGGATTGATTTAACAGTATCGCACTGTTCAGTGCAGGTGTTATCTATGTTGCCAGAATGATAATACATTACTGTACTTAATTTACAGTTGTGGCACAATACCTTAGTTTTTCCTCAGTAGAATAACATCAGCCTGTGTGTAAAACTAAGAATTTTAGTAGTGCTATCAGGATATTTATAGTTTGAATGTTTTCAACGCTTCTGCGAAATTGCACATATTCCTTTGTCTACTCTGATTTCCTATGAAGTCTGTAATTCTAATGAAAAGTACCTTGTGTAAATATGTATTCATAAATTGTTCCTGGTAGTGTTTTTATCCTGACTTTGGAACAAGAAGTTTTGCTATATATGTGGCTGGTAAGCAGAAGAGAAATACTCTGCCCTCAGTCCTTGGAAGTCTCTGTGCTGCACTTCCTGAAGGGCTGATCTGTGTTGGGTGGAGCTGTTTTAATTCCCTCATGAATGCTCGGCAATGGGAGTGGCTTCTGAAGCACTTTATATGCATTCCAGCATAGCGTCATAGCTAGAGAGGATAGCAGTTCTTTCAGCTCATGGATGCTGCAGAAGCGTGAGCACTGAGAATATCTGTGTTAAGAAACTGTTCTAGCTGAAAGTGCCAAATTGTGGTATAGTGAAGCCTCTGTGCTGTGAGCATCTTTTGAATGTGACTTGAATATCTCATGAAATGCAAATGTCTGACTTTCCTTTTAAACATGCCTGTAATTCTGACAGCACATTTTGCTGAAAGTTTAATTCTGTACATGAAGATAAATTTGTCTGTTCTTCATAACTGTTAGCCCTACCCACTACCTTGTAGCAGTGGGGTTTTTCTTTCTTCCTGCTCATTTTCCACTGTGTGAATGGCTTGTGGTTTGGTTTCTTTTTCTTGTTGAATTGTGGTGAGAGGATTCTGCCCTAGAAACAGTGATAAATACTTTCCCTTATGCATTATAGCTGATTAAAGCATTCAACCTCCTTCAAAGGAAGGGACTGAACGTGGTTTGTTTGACCCCTGGCTGTGCACCAGCTCAGGACCTCATGAATTTAAAAGGACTTCACAGAAAATCTCACAGTGCAGTTGGGCTTTACATCTCTGGCCACTCTTGATACCTCCCTCCTAGTAGCAGTCAAAGCAGGTGGTGCAGAGACAGCTTGGACTCTGTGTGAGGCCTGAGCAGAATTAAGTGCCTGAAAATGTCATTGATGGTAGCGATACCTGAAGCAACAAGACGGATTTAATCTTGACTCCATCAAAGATTTAAGTTTTTATCTCCTAGAAGGCAAGGTGGTGCCTCCTTGGCAGGCATGTTCCTGGAGCACTCTGGGATGAGGTTCACCAAGGAGCTCAATGTGTTCCTCTTCAGCTCTTAAAGGCAGAGCCTCAGCAGTCCTCACTCAGGGCTGCCTGAGGTGAGCTGGGACAGCAGGGCATAGCTCTGTTCTCATAGCAAAGATACTTCCTTGCTGAGACAGCCCAGGTGATCACAGCCCAGGTGAAGGATATGTTATGTTCTCTGCCTTTCTTCCCCTCAAAAAATTGTGGTGGAAGAAATGTTAGGCAGATGATTTCTTTTCTGCTCTGAAATCAGAAGGCAGATCCTCCCAAGTATTGTCCTTTGTATAACTGAGGCCATGCTAGCACCAAGTATGTCCAGGTAGAAGACATACATGAACGTGGGTTTCCTGCAGCCTGGCTTCTGCCTGAATCTTTAGATTAGGGCACATGAAGGAAGGAGCATGGCCAGTCTTGTGCTCTCTTCTAGTAAAATAGTGCCATTTGCTTCTGAATTCAGGGGATAAACTTCAGTCTGGCTCCCTCTGCATGTTCACTAGGGGGCTGGAGGGCAGAGACATGCTCCTGTAGAAGCTGTGCAGCACTGTAGCTGAGAGAGAAAATTTATCAGCCAGAGCATGAGGGAAACAGGCATCTAAGCCTGAGTGCTTGGGCAGCTCTTGAAGAGTTCCCTTCATGGACTTGTGTGTGTTAAGCATGGCCTCTTCTGTCCTGCTGAGTGCTCTTCACTTGTAGTGTTTAGCTGAAGTATCACAGCATCAAGAGGACTTGAATCTTGAAGGCGTCCCAGCCTGCACCCACATAATAAGACTCCAGAGGTGAAAATTGTGGCAACTCACTTTGACTTCCTAGGCAGGTACTAAACAAAAGGTGAATATCTGTGTGATCTGTGTGGGGCCACTGTCAGGAGCTCAATAGGAGAGACCCTTCTCTTGTTTCCAGGGTTGAACCTGTGTGCATTAGTCCTGCTATGAAGGTATGACTCCCCAGAACCTAATAGGTGTTTGCAAAGGCTTGGCAAATGTAAAGCTTGCTCTACCACCTTTTGCACCTGACTTTTTAAACATCTGTTATTTCTTTCCCAAAGTAACTTCCTATCTGCAGAGGGAAGCCAAATCCCTGAAGACAGAGATGGACCTGGGCAGGCAGTGAAGTGCTTGAAAGATGATTGCTGTGCTTATGTTCTTTACCAAAGCTAATCCTTATGCTCTGTCTAAATGCTACAACTCTTATGCTATGGTTAGCCAGCCTGGGAATGAAACACACTAGTGCTAGCATGCATTCAAGTTTTATGCACTCAGAAATCCAGAAAAAAGGACTTGTATCAAGGACTGTGAAGCAAGGCAAAGAAATCTCACCTCTTCTTGAACCCTCAGACACAGACAAAAATTGTAGCATTTAAATGCTGTGTTTAAACTTCAAGGAGCATCATGACTACACAATCACTGCTCATTGCTAGTGCCTGCCTTCATAGTTGGTATCATGAACTAAAGCAATCTCTAAATAAATTCAAAATACAGATGAGCTATTGGATGGCAGTGGAAGTCTGGATTAACAAATCTCTGAAAAATAATGTAAGTTTTACCTTTTAAGGAACAACAAAAGTTACTCAGTTAAGGTATTTTATGCTTTCTTCTACAAGTAAATTCCTAGGCTGTTGATTGCCTGAATTGCAGTGCTATTTCCCTTCCTTCCTACCACCCAACGCCCTCATTAGAAAATTGTTTATAGTCCCCTGTAAAATTAAAGGAAACTCAGAAATTACATTTACAGTCTTGTAGCAGTTACAGTTCTCATCTACGTTATATAAAACAGTATATGGCTTATGTCAGTTTCCTGGGAAATAATGTTAGATTTCATTTAGAGATCTAATGGAGTTTAGGTTTACATTTTCTCAGAGGATATGTGTTAATAGTTTGCATATGGAAGTATTTTTTTTTAATACCGCAGCAGTAGTAATTTGGATTTGTATTTGGAAATAGCTTTTCCTTCAGCATACCATGCACCAGGAATCAGGTGGAACCCAAGTCTGCATACATTTGTGACCAAAAACAAGTTGTTCAGCAAAACAAACTATAATAAGAGTTCAAAAGGGAAGTCTGCTTGTGCTATTTACTTGAACTCAGCTTTAAAAGACTTATACTGGCATGGACCTTTGTTTAAATAAACTTTCACTTTTGGTATTTATTTGTTTGAGTAATTATACTTAAATCTCTTTTGCTTAAAGCATGTTCATCTGTGTAAAAAGACAAAGTTCATTTAATGCTTTGTATTCATTCCAAAGAAGTATAAATTATGTCTTAAAATTACTTTGGCATGTTCATTACCGGCTTTAACTCTGATCTCCAGCTGCAAATGAAAATACCTACCCCCAGTAAAGACTAACACCCAAGTCTGAACAATATTTTTTATTAAAGCAGAAAGTACCTCAGCCAAATGCAACATGAAGTTCACACTGTATTCAAGACCTTTACACTGTAAAGCCTAAAAGAACTGCTAGAACTGTACTCCATCCTGCATTTAAAAATCTGTTTACAGAAAGAACCAAACTCAGTTATGCTGAAAAAGCCTTTTTCTTTTTGCGAGGTGGCTTCTTTATCTTATTGGGATTTGGGACAAGTTTCTTGATTTTCAAAGGCTGCAAAATTACATGTGAAAGATCAGGCTGACTGCTTTCCGTATGCTTCCGCTTCTGACTTGTGAGCTTATCCCCCAGCGCCTCTGCAAGCTCTTCGGGTTCCAGGCTTCCTGAGGAATCTGTGTCTGCATAAGCCATGGATTCTTCAGTTCTGTACTGAAACCACGGCACTTCCAAGGCCGGTATCTTTGGGACTATGGCTGCTATAGCCTCGGTGAATGTGTCTGAGCGCTTTCGGAAGCCGAGCGCCAGGACGGAGGTCAGGCCGAGGAGGGGCGCCAGGGTCTCGCTGAGGCGCGGCACCTGCCCCGCCGGCGTGGCGCGGCTGGCGCTCAGCTCCACCAGGTGCGACGTGAGCATCGCGGGCTTGGCAGACTTGCACACCAGCAAGAGGAGAAGCTCATTTTTTTCCAGTGCTTTTGTAACTTCATTAATTCCAATAGCAAGCTGTCTTCTGATACTTATGTCAGTCCATCCTGGTTTTTGTTGGTGGCTTTCTGCTTCCTCTTTAGGGAAATCATTGGTGCCGGCATCACACTTTCTTTCTGTTTGTTTTTTTGTGAGGGAACGTTTTTTCTTTCTTGGACTCTCAATCTTTTTAAGTCCAATATGTTTAATCCTTTCTTCTAAGGTCTCCAGTATAAAATGCATATCTTCTCCATCGATGGTTTTCCATTGGAAAACAAAGGGGTTATCTAGACATGTTTTTACAGTGGTTTTCTTTGCTTTCCGAAGTGTTGCCGTGCCTGGCTGAATTACAGACATCCTGAGGTGGTTGATTCTGTGTTTTGTCACCCTAGGACGAAAGAGCAAGACATTACTTCAAATACTGTACTGTCTGCTGTGGACATTGTTACCAGAAACTTCTTCTGGGAATGCAGAAGAGAAACATTGCATGTCAGTGATACTGGCATCTATCAACCTCACGGCACCAATCCTTCACACATCTTCCACAAGGCAGGTGTGGAGTTGGGTTTTTTTAATAAATAAAAAAAGCTGGACCAGACAGTATGGCAACAGCAGTGACAACAGACCCTTCTAAAGCTGAACAAAAGCAGCTGGAGGTATTACAGATGTAAAAAAAACCACAAGCCCAACGAAGCAACAAACTATCCCCAGAATCACAGGTTGAAGGACCACTCCATTTTTAATGTTGCACAGCTGCATTGCCCCCCCATGACATGGGAGGGGGAAAAGGCAAAAAATCACAACATAAAACAAGTTCCTGAATTATTTAGGAATTTTATAAATCTGATTTTTTAATCTTCAGTCCGTGCCTTTGTGTTTCCCTGTATTTGGGAGGTATGATAAAAACTTGCAGACTTTTTAACAATTTATGCTTTCAGGGAAGGAAGGCAATCCCCTACATGCCTCCAAAAGTTCAAGTGTCTTTTATGTCACCTGGACAATGCCTTCACGGGTGAGAAAAACTGAACAGGAGGGCAGAAAGTGTAATTGTTCTTGCTCTGATTGATCTACTCTGGAGTAGCAGTGAAGGCATGAGGTCAAGGCTGATGGCAGTCCCTGCTAAATTGCAAAGCCCCCAATTCCAAAATACAAAAAAACCACTGGAGCACTCCTGAGTACTCTCAGAATAATCGATGAAATGCCCTGGGCCACCTCAGTGATGGTCCATCCAATCCAGTTATCTGCTCCCAACAGTGGAAACTGGAGAAACCAGCTGGGGAGGACAGGGCTGGCATTCCCCTCAGCTCCCAAGCACGCAGAATGGTTGCATTTGGGATGTAAGGATAAAGATGTGCCGACTTAACCTATTAGTCCTTCACGGAGCTATCAATTCATGCAGTTACCTAATCCCTTTTGCTTGCCATCACAGTAGCAACAACCAAAAAGTGAACACAACTAAAAAATGGACATGACCACAAGAATTCTTACGTGTGACTGAATGGAAGCTTGTGATTGTTAAAAAAAAAAAAAAAGAGCTCTGGGTTATCACTTTTTAAAGCTTTTAATTAGGGATGCTCTGATGACCTTTGACAGGCAAAATCAGCAACAAACACAATAAGAAAAAAACCATGTTCATAGTTCAAAGATGACATTTTTCTTTTCAAAATGGGCATTCCTGAAGAAGACAAGCGTGCAGGAGTAAGGAAACAGAGCAACAAGTGAACAAACGAGCACGGCTCCTCCACCTCGCACCGCGGTCGCGACCCCCTCGCTTCCGGCGGAAGGGAGATCCCAGAGACGCCGCCCGCTCCGCCAGGAACCTCCGCCAGGAATCTCCGCAGCGCTTCCGCCGCAGGGCGCTCCGGGGCTCCTCCAGCTCCCGGCAACAGCGAAACGCGGGCTAAGCACGGCCCCGCACAACGCCGGCTCCCTGTGCGGCGAGGGCTCCGCCGAGACCGCAGCACCCTCTCCCCAGACCGCAGCACCCTCTCCCCGGGCCGCCGCCTCTCAGCCGCCAAGCACTGCGGGCCGGCCCGGGCCCGGGGAGCGGAGCGGCCTCCGGCTGCCCGACCGCGAGGCTCAGACCGCAGCTGCTCCGCGCCTGCTAGAGCAAAGCCGCCCTTACCTCGGCCTTCCCGCGCTACAGGAACACGCCGCGGGACGCGGCCTAGTCCCGCTCCGCCTCCGGTCCCGCTCCGCCCCCGGCCGCGGCGTGGGAGTCTCTCCGCGGCGGGGCGGTGTCCGGAGCGGGCCGAGCAGGAGGAGCTGGGGCGGTGCTGTGGCGGCTCCCGCTGTGGCGGCTCTCGGCAGGCGGGCGGTGCCCGCGCTGCGCTCAAGGCCGCATGCCCAAGCGCATGCAGTGTTAGTGCACGGCAGCCATAAAGCGCTGGTGCCCAGGGCCTGCTCTTGCCGGGTCTCACCGTAGGCTCACTACTGGCGCTCCCAGGGCTCGAGCGCTCCCGAAAACCGGCGCATAGGCGATGGCAGACCTGCTCAGTCCCATGTCAGCTAGCGCACTCAGGGCCGGGTCACCAGGTGCTTCATAGGAGCTGCACAGCCCCAGGACAGTCCCTCGCTGCGGTGCAGTGCGCGCCGTGCCGTGCACGGACAGTGTGTGCTGTGACCAAGGTGACAGGCGAGGACTGGTTCCATTCAGCGTTACCCGCAATCTGCCCTCAGCCTTTAACAGATCTTCACAAGTGCGTTCATTTTCCACATTCACCGTAGTGCACAGCATAGTTAAGCACAGCTCTTTGGCACTGAAAGAGCAGAGCTTCTTTGCTAGGGCACTGGTACTACAGAAATGTTTCAAGTTTTTATTTTAATCTCCTATTTACTTACATTTACTTGGGTTGTTTCCTTGTTGATTCCTGATTTAATTTAACCTGGACTTGTTTCCCCTCAAATTACTTTTTGGCATAGTTTTATGGAAGTTAGTGGGTTAAAAAATGCAGAAGTACCTACCATAGATCAAACTATGCTTAGGAAATTATGTACATGTGAAAAACGCCAATCACTTGGTTTTTTTAAATTTTAAAAGTTCAATAGTAATAAAATGGTTATAAAATAGTAACACAATTAGAGTAAAAATAATTTGGACAGTGTGAATTAGGACAATATGAGACAATAGAACCAAAAAGTTACAGACATCTTTCTGGGCAGCACGAGCCTGAAAAAGGACACACGTTAACAAAAGATTAACTCCTAAAAGCAATAGTTTGTTGCATATTCATACACTTCATACATGATGCATAAATTCCATTCAAACACAGGACTCTGTCTGGTCATCGTCAGCTTCTTCCTCTGAATCCTGACAGCGCCTTCGAGGCGGGAAGAAGTTCTTTTCTTCTGATAAGAAGGCAATAAATCAGCTTTCTCTGAAAGATTTAGGTGTCCTGTGGCTGCTATCTCACTGCAAGTGTTTTCTTTAAAAAAAAGTATTCTACATAGCATCGTTTCTATTTTAACATTTTTTATAACCTAAAACTATATTTAACGCATTAAGAGAATTAGTACAGCATTGCATTCTAACACAACACATATAATATTCACTTTAACATTTGCCAAAAGCCAATCATAGAATACGCATTTTTCACATACATAAGTATATAGAGGCATGAATGTAAATAATTCATTGATACAAGAGAGATGGATTTTTTTTTCTTCAGTGGTTACACTTGTAGGGTAGTTTATCAATTGATTTAATATTTTTATTCTGTACTTAGTAGACCAAATTGAAAATCAGCATTTACAGTGTATTTTGTGTGTGTAGCCACTTGTGTGAGGCATCCTTGAGATGACCCTCGTGTTTTTCAGAGCTGCAGCTGAAGGTTGCGAAGTCCCAGGTTGGCTGGACATGGACATGGTCAGGGAATGCGGCAGAAGGGACGTGTCCAATAACTGGACTGGTTGCACTTCAAATCACTTAAGAAATTCCTTTGTCAAACAAACGGCTTGGGAATCTTTCTGCCCTCAGCCCGGCAGCCTAATCCGCAGTGGTGCGGCTGGAGCTGAGGCTTTCAGCGGAGCCCGCGGGGGCTCAGCGCTCCGTGCCCCCCGCCCCCCGAGCCGAGGGCGCGGCGGCAGCAGCGAGTGCCCGAGCGCTGCGGGGCTGAGCTCACGGGCACGGGCCCAGCGCCGCCGCAGCCCGCTGGCAGACGCGCCGCGTCCCCGCCAGAGGAAGGAGCGAGGCCGTTCCCTGCGCATCCCCGCAGCATCATGACTCTCCAGGTACGCGATTCTGCATCTGGGGAGACAGGCGAGGAGAGGGATGCGCTGTGCGTCTGTGTGATGCCGTGCTGCGGACTGTGGTGCTTCTTCCGCGTAAAGATTTTTACTGCAGAATCAAGGTTACCTTGTGGCAAGGGAAAACTGCCTGAACCCTTGGAGGTTAAATAGTGCATTACTTTTCACAAGTGGAGGACGAGAAGCAAGCTGGTTAATATGAACTGTTTCATGGGTCATGTAATATTTTGGATTTTTTTTCATGTGTTCAGAGTATGCATGAATTATGTTTCTCCAGGCGGGCATCTGAGTTTGCTAGGACTGAGTTAGACATGGAAAGGCAGGTACATACTTATACTCTAGCTAGTTGCTTGGAGCTGTTAAAGGAGGAGGGAAACTTCTAACGCTGAGACAGTGCTATATGTGCATTTGGGAAGTGTAAATAATTTTTAAATAAGTTGCGCAGCTTTTTTAGGGTGTATGCATCTTTGGACTGCTACAATTTGATAGCTTTGTGTTTTGGTAGGAGAGCTTCTACTTACCTTCTAGCTAGACAGAGTGCTTCTTTTTATGTACTCTCTGATTGTAGCTTTAAATAGCTGTTGAGGAAATCATCTTCATTGCTGGCTTTTAGCCTCCTACCTTTGTAGGAAACTATGAATACTTCCCTTGTCCTGGCCATGTCCTGGTAGATTAAGCTGATTTTCTTCTTTAGGCTTTCCTATTATCCCTTTCACTTTCAAGATTTGCAAGCTCTTCTATCCCTGTCTCATTATGTCTGCCTCAGCTTAGTTGGTGTTCATTTTGCAAAGAGCGAGCAGCACAATGCTGTGACCTAGATGCAGGGAGTGCATTGCCAGCAGCTTAGCAATTTTCTTCTGAGCTGCAATTATGCTGAATAGCACAGAGGTTTCATTGTGCTGTGTTACAGCTAAGAAGAAATCTCTTTCTTACGTGGGTCAAAATTGCCAAATCCCAACATAACACTACCTTTGCATCATTAATAATTGCTGAAATTACAGCTTGTTTTATTCTGCCTTAAACTCAGTCTAGCAAGTGAATTTGTTAGCCTGATGATTTTAGCAATGAGCCATAAATTATGATAAGAAAGAGCTGAAGGCAGTATGATATGCTGTTCCATAACTGCATAGAGTTACACTTAAACATAAAAATTAGTGGTTGAAATTTTAAGATGCCATACGCATTCTGCATTAGACATTATAGAGCTTGTCTGTCCACACTGGTTTGCTTGACAGTTACCAACCATATCCATAAATTTACTGAATCTAGCTGTATGGGAATGAGGACAAATGAATAAAATAATGTTCTCTTTAGTGAGGCTGTAAAATACTTTTAAGTTTTGTAAACTGGTAAAATATTCTGCAGTAAATGAAGAATTCATTCAAGCTTTTTTCTTCACAAAAAGACAGTGTCTGATAATGGTCTGATAATTTGTGCTTTTATCTTTAAGGCACATGTGTATGTTTATGACTGTATATATTTTTATTCTTTTTATTTGGGGAGTTAAAGGGAATATTATCGGCACATGATTAACAGAAAATTATATTTTTACAGGCTGCTCATAAGCATGTTGTGTAAGCAGGCAAATCCTAAGCAACAGTCTGTGCAGAATGATTGGCTAGAGGAGGATAAAGAACAAAAGGTTTAGTATTTAGATTTCATTTCTGCACCTTTCTTACAAATCTTTAAACTATCTTGTGACACTTGCCTATAGATGCAAATAGAATAAAATTATAGGAAAATAAGGTTATTAACTTAATGGTTTCCTTAACTTTTTATCTTTTGTCTTGTACAATTGAACAGGACTTCTGGTTCATTCTTACTGTGAACTTGTCATGGTTTAACACTACCCAGCAAATAAGCACCATGCAGTCACTTGCTCACCTGCTTCACCTACGGTGGGATGGGGAGGAGAATTGGCACTGAGGAGAAGGGAGAGGAAGCAACAACTCATGGGCTGAGATAAGAATAGTTTAATGATTTTTTTAAAAAGTAAAACATAATACTGTGATAGTAGTAATGAGAGAGAGAGAAAAAGAGAGAGAGTGCATGTGCAGATAAACCCAGAAGAAGCACGTGATGCACAATACAATTGCTTACTACCCACTGACCAAGGGGCAGGGCAGCAGTCAGTCTCTTTTGACCAACTCCTCCCAGTTTCTACTCTGGGTATGGATGTTCTGTGATGTGGAATATCCCTGTGGCCAGTTTGGTGAGCTGTCCCAGAGGTGTTCCCCCCTTCCCCAGATTCTTGTGCAGCTCCTCACGTTCAGAGCATGAGATACTGAAAAGTCCTTGGCTCAGTGCAAGCACTACTCAGCAACAACCAAAACATCAGTGTGTTACCAACAATATTCTCATCCTGCATCCAAAACACTGCACTGTACCAGGTACTAGGGAGAAAATTAACTGTACCCCAGACAAAACCAGGACAGAAGTTTAGATCAGAAAACAATTCCAGACTTGTGAAAGATTTCCACAGATTTGAATGGTCCTTGTACATCAGTGCTGGCAGAAGCTCACCTGCAGTAGTAACTTATTTAATTTAATGTTAACAATGTGGCAACCTAGTTATGGTTTACTATTGATACAAATTTTAAATCTTACAATTAACAGAGTCCTACTATTGTTTGCACCTGTGTGGATAATATTAAGAGATGTCTGTAATGGAGGAGTCAGTCATAGTTATAGTCAAGAATGTCACATTTCTAATGTTTGGCTTAATAATGAAATGTTTATTTTAATAAAATTGTAGCTATAAAAAATGCCTTGAGCAGTAGGTCATCACATTTATTTTTGTAAGTGAATGTCCATCCCTTTTATACATCTGTACCAATAGTATGACTTTAAATGCTTTGCTTTCACGACCATCAAATGTACAGTTCAGTTTCTTTGAACCACTATTTTTAATTCTTTGGTAAGGTAGTTTGCATTGCTAATTTTGTTTCTCCTAGTTAAATGCTTCTCCATTAGAAATGCTGTACATCTACTAAGAACACTTGTTAATGCATAGGAGTTTCTGTGTCATTACACTTGCCTTGCCACCTCAGTACAGAACGCCCTCATATGCCAGTGCTGCATGCCTGGAGCTGGCACAGCAGTGTGGCACGGCCAGAGTGACTCAGGGGCAGGCTGGGAGGCCAATTCAGAGCATGTGAGCTCCTCTGCAACCCCCATGTCCCTGCCTCTTCCTCGAGGTGAGCACAAAGTGGAACAGGCCTGTTTTCATGGAAGGATAAGGCACCTGACTGTCAAAAAAAGCCCCATGATCACTTTCACAGGGACTGTGAGCTCAGACTCCTGCTTGTGGCAGTGTGTCTGTCCCCCCTGCTCCCACTGAAGGCACTCATGCTGTGCCTAAGACACAGGGCAAGGTGCTTCTGTCCCAAACCCCAAATTCTCTGCCTGTGCGGGTGGGACTTCCTGGCCCCAAACACATGGGTTCACCATTCTGGGTTTGCTGCTGAAAGGAAGAATTGTGTTATTTACTTACTTACTGTGGGCCTCAACAATTTTTGGTGAAAAATTAAAAATGAGCTTAACATCTGAACTTGTTGAAGCATTTCAGGTGGTTGTAGCAAATCCAGGTACAGTTGCTGTGCAGGAGGAGACCAAGAGACAATACAGCATAAGAAGAAAAATTTAAATGTCAAAACTTTCATGAAAGCAAATATTAATATTACAAAAAAAAACCTGACAAGGGATACTGTAAGGCCATTTCAACATTATTGATTCAGCTTTTATATGTAGTCTAGAGCACACAATTTTGGTTTATCTAAATTACAAATAATATATATACATAACATATGAACGTATTCTAAGCCTTTTGATTTTTGATTCTAGAAAAATCCTGTAATTTTTTTGCAGCACTCCCAAATGCTTGGTTGGTAAAAAAAAAATAAATCTACAGTGTTCTTAAAAGAAAGCAGACACCAAAAGGTGGACTTAAAGCTTCATGTTTTTCTGTGGTTCTAGTTGCATTTTAGTAACATTGAGAATTATTTTTATTAAAACAGGAGCAAACTACATAAGTAATTACATGTTTCAGTATATAAAGTTCTAGATTTAAAAATATAATTTGGAATTAATTTAATCTAGAATTTAGTGCAGAAACTGCCAAATCATATACTTTATTGAATGACCAAGTGTCAGATCTTTAAGAAGACAAGTGGCAATTGGAATCTGCCTAATTCTCAGAAGAATTGCTATATTCAAAATAGAACAGCAGCATTTCTCAAACTTAAAACAATTTTAGCACACCAGTTCTTCTCTGTACTCCTCCCTCTCCACTACTGGGCATTTGGTTCAGGGAGGCCTTGGTGGGAATCTCCTAGACACTTCTGCTTGTCATTTATGCAAGCATTAAGGTTCTCATTGAGTTGAAAGATTATTTGTTAAAAAGCATCTGCATTGCTGCAGGGTTTTGGTCTTTTCCTTTCATTTCACTTCAAGGGTGCCAGGAACTGAGAGACCTTCAGATGTGTATTGCCATCATGAATCCTTTCCATCTAATGTTCTGTGAAATTACAGCTGCAGTTTAAAGAATATTCAAGATTTAATTGCTGTTTTGCAGGGCGCTAGAATGCCTTTTAAATCACACAGCATGATTTTTTTTTTAAACATTCTTTTAAATGCACCTCTCTGCCTGCTGTTCCTTGTTGCAACACTGCTGTTACAGATGTACATCCTCCTGTGGCAAGCACTTTTGTTCTTAGAAGGCTTGTGCCTTCCCTTTGTGGGTTTCATACAGCAATTCAAAATTTCCAAAAAATCAGAAATTCCTCAGAAGTTTGTATCTGGCAAATCTCATTAGCCAAACTAAATTTCCAGACCAAAATAAAAAGTGAATTCCATCTTGGGAGGCAGAGGTGACTCACTTGGTGGTAGAGTGGCCAAGTTTCAGTGCCGGAAGCTGCAGGGCACCCAGCTACCTGTCCTTACCCTGTTTTGCCCGCTGCTCCTGCCTCCTGCAGCCACCAGCTGGCGTGTCCTTACAGCAGTGAATATGTCATGATTCCAGGGAAGGGCCTTTCTGTGGGGAAAGATGCTTGAACATCACTCTCTAATTAAATTACTACTCATTTTTCCTTCTTACATTTTAAAAAGGAAATAACCTTTCTCTTGTGCTTTCTCTTGTACTTTCTCTCTGTTCAAATACAGAATGCTGTAGTGAACCTAGCTCTCATTCCTATTTGCTTATTTCCATCACCTGACCCACCCAGCACAGTCACTTGCCAAGGAGAAAGGCATCAATTAAGGAGATAAACATGCATTAGGTTTTCTTTAAAAAAAAAATCAAATCTTTTCTCTAACTAAAGGAAAAGGTGGTATAAGGAAGCACACTGCAGACTTCTGAGGTAATGCCAGGATCTCAGTGGTGTAAACAGAGCCACATACTCATGCTCAAATCATTGCTGACTTTTACACAAACTTTTAAGCTGAAGTAGTGTGTTGATGCTGGCTAAATGCCAGTACCCACCAAAGTCACTCACTCACCCTCCTGCAGCTGGATAGGGGAGAGAAAATTTAACAAATGGTTCATGGGTTGAGATAAGGACCAGGAGAGAGATTGGTCATCAAATACCATTGAGGGCAAAACAGGCTCTACTTGGAGACATAAAGTGAATTTATTTCTAACAAAATCAGAGCAGGATAATGAGAAATAAAATAAGCCCTCATAAACACCTTCCTCTCTTCTCAGCTCTACCCCCTACTCCAGCAGTGCAAGGGGACAAGGAATAGGGGTTGTAGTCAGTTCATGACCCATGGCTTCTGCTGCTGCTCAAGGAGAGGAGTCGTTCCCCTGCTGCACCGTGGGGTGGCACAGGAGACAGTTCTCTGTGAACCTCTCCAACGTGAGCTCATCTCATGAGCAGCAGCTCCCTGTGACTGCTGCAGTGTGAGTCCATCCCACGGGAACAGCTCCCTGTGACTGCTGCAGTGTGAGTCCATCCCATGGGAACAGCTCCCTGTGACTGCTGCAGTGTGAGTCCATCCCACGGGAACAGCTCCCTGTGACTGCTGCAGTGTGAGTCCATCCCATGGGAACAGCTCCCTGTGACTGCTGCAGTGTGAGTCCATCCCATGGGGAACAGCCCCCTGTGACTGCTGCAGTGTGGGTCCATCCCATGGGAACAGCCCCCTGTGACTGCTGCAGTGTGAGTCCATCCCATGGGAACAGCCCCCTGTGACTGCTGCAGTGTGAGTCCATCCCATGGGAACAGCCCTCCCAGGCTGCTGCAGTGTGAGTCCATCCCATGGGGGACAGCCCCCTGTGACTGCTGCAGTGTGGGTCCATCCCATGGGGGACAGCCCCCTGTGACTGCTGCAGTGTGAGTCCCTCCCATGGGAACAGCCCTCCCAGGCTGCTGCAGTGTGAGTCCATCCCATGGGAACAGCCCTCCCAGGCTGCTGCACTGTGGGTCACTCCTCCACGGGGTGCAGCCCTTCAAGGACAGGCTGCTCCAGCCTGGGAGCAGGGCCCCTCTCCAGGGTCTCCACAGGGTCACAGCCTCCTCCCAGGCATCCCCGTGCCCCTCCTGGGGCTCCTGCAGGGGCTGTGGTGGATCCCTGCATCCCACGGCCTCCATGGGCTGCAGGGGCACGGCTGCTGCCCCCGGCCTGCCCCACGGCCTGAGGGGAATCTCGGCCCCGGCGCCTGGAGCAGCTCCTGCCCCTCCTGCGCTGCCCTCGGGCTCTGCAGGGCCGCTCCTCTCACGTTCTCGCTCTGCTCTTCTCTGGCCGTAGTCACAACTGGGCACCCACTGCTTGTTTATTTTCCTCCTTAAATCTGTTACCACAGAGGTGTTACCGCCATTTCCAATCGGCCTGGCCTTGCCCAGCAGCACATCCATCTTTGGAGCCACCAGGGATTGGCTCTGCTGGACATGTTGGAAGCTTCTGGCAGCTTCTCATGAAAGTCACCCTTGTAGCCCCCCACCAGCCCCAACTACAAAAACCAGGCCATGCAAAACCAATACCCTGGTTTTGTATATTTTAAGTATTTGTGCAGGATATACTGTGCTTCTGTAAATGCAGATCCAACTCAAAAGCTAAAATAATTGTTGAAACCAGCATATAGCATGTTAAAGTGCTTGTATCAGTCATCATTAGAGTAGTCTGGTAACCTGATGGGTCTGTAGTCACTATACAAAATCTGTCTCTCTCTGAAATGTTCTGGGCATGAAACAGAACTCCAAAACTTAGCCTGAGTCCTGCTTTATAGCAAGAATGGCTACAACCTCAGGTTGATGTGAGTGTGTGATTCAGTGATGAAAGTAGTAAATTTACACTTTACTCTGGTGCTCTGCTGTGTTTCAGAGATGACTGTGGAAGGTGGTCCTGGCTCATCTCCATGAGGTACCTCTGTGCCAGCTGTTGATCACCTACTTCCCTGTCAGCAGAGCAGAGGAAATGGAGGGTGAATTGGGCAGTGCCACTCAGAGGGGATTTGAGCTCCACCAATTGAGCCAGCACAGTGTAGGCAGAGTCAAAACAACTCAGAGATTACTGTGGGATGTAAAGTTCAGTGAATGGCTTCATACCTGCAGTGTGACTGTAAAAGACATATACATCACATAAATTGTGGAGGCTGCCCCTATCAATCATACAACCCTATATCCCTTTCTAGAAATGTACACATTTATGAAGCTTCTTTCATAAGAACCATTCTTGTCTGATGACTAAACTCAAGTGAGTAATTGAGAATGTCTAATGATATTACTGTGTGTCTTATAACTAATGTTTTTAAAACACCCCTTGAGAGGAGAACCCTTTCTGTTCTTTCATCAGGCTGACTTTGATGGTGCTGCAGAAGATGTAAAAAAATTAAAAACAAGACCAACTGATGAAGAACTGAAGGAACTATATGGATTCTACAAACAGGCTACTGTTGGAGATATTAATATTGGTATTACTATATATACTTCCCATTTAATCACATGTCTTGATAAAATCAGTCTAATGTGATGTAAATCTGCATGATAACCAAAGCTATGCATTTATTTTGACAGAATGTCCAGGAATGCTAGATTTGAAAGGCAAAGCCAAATGGGAGGCATGGAACCTGAAAAAAGGTGTTACACCAATTAAATTTTCATCCTGTAGTCAAGTTTATAGGATGACAAACGAGAAAGATAATTACTCCTACTTTCCTTTGCAGGTTTATCAAAGGAGGATGCCATGAATGCCTATATCTCTAAAGCAAGAGCAATGGTAGAAAAATATGGGATCTAGAATATTCAAAATAATTCCCACTAATAGTTAACTCTTCAGTAGCTAATGAACTAACTCTGTTGAGAAAAATGCAATACTAACTCCTCAGTGAGGTCTGACACTAATATCTTCTAAGCATAAGCTGTTTGACTGTAAAGGGTATTTACATATATAATCTATTTCTAGCTTGTATATGAATCTAAATAAATTTGAACAGAATAAATGAAGCTTTCTGTGAGAATTATGGATTTTGTGGGTATTAAATTATATTTAGCATTTTGATAGGAGCAGACAAAGAGAAGCTCTAACAGTAAAATAACATAGACATAATGCTTTTGCAAGCATTATGGAAGGGTTACCATTTTGCAAGGGTTATGGAATAAAGTGAAGAGTTTGTACACATGTAAGAGAAGAAGGAAAAGATGAAACCTTTTTTAAGACCCAAAGCCTATGTTTGTTTTCAAAACATCAGGAAAACATCCCCTTATAAAGGATTACAGAGGAACAGAACAACTTTGAGGCATAACTGCAATGTAGAGAAAGAAGTGATTTATTACAAATTGCTGTGGACCAACCTTACACTGCTATTAAAAATTGTGAGAAATACTCATAGACCATTTTCTATGCTTCTTGTCATGTGTTTTATCAAGAAGCTTTCATTAGAGGGCTTCAGCAGATAAAGGTGATCTCCAGGAAGCTCATAAAAGGAAGTATCTCCACTCGTTAGTTCTTGCCAACCTAAAAAAGATATTTCACGTGTCAGAGAAATGTCAGCTATTGTGATCATTTTGTATAACTATTTCAAAACTATAATTTAATAATTATTTTAAATCCCATATCAAATTTTTGGTTCATATATTGAAACTACTCTGTTGATTTGTTTCCTTTAAGAAGGAAGTAGACTCTAGAAAACTCTAATTAACAGGTGTAATACAGCAAGAAAATGTGTAAGTATGAGAGGAAAACCATTTAAGCAAAGTACCTTTTGCATCATATATTTTATCATCAGACCCACAAAAGTAGGTAATATCACAGGAGAAGGGGATATTCATTTCTGTCTTCTCAAATCTGTGAACATAAAAGTAATCATAAAACATTCCATAAGATACATATATTTGGAATTTGCTTCCACATACAAAAAAGGTTTTTTGTTCTTCTCCAAAATGTAACAAATTTCAGGAGTTAGATTATACAGAACATCAGGAGAAGAAAATACTCTGGAAGTTTCTTAGCTCCTTGCCCTACTGTAATTAGAAATAAAATTGTAAGGAAAGAATGACCCAATATTTAGGGGGAAAAAAAGAGCTTCCACCTGCAATAAAAATTCTCACCTACAATAAATAATGATGTTACCTACTTATATACAAGTTCTAACATTTCAGCATCTTTCAGTGTCAGATTCCTAAGACCAAAATGGGTCCCACATCCAGGAGTGTCCTTGTTTTTGCCAAGGTAAGAAGCCTAAACCACTCAGCTACATGAGCTGTCATGTCATGTCATGTCCAGCAGTGAGGACACAGGAAGACGGTGTCTGTCTGGGTGCCCAGAACACAGGATTCTGGTTTTTGGTTAGGCTAGAGGACCTTGGATCTGGAGGCTGAATGCAGTGTTCCTGAAGCATGATGAGCTGGGGTTGTTAACCTCAGAGAACAATAAAAGACACAAGAATATTCCCTTTTAGTAGCTGCTAACTTCAGATGGTAGGTAGAACTGTAATTCTGCCATGACAGGTTCACTACTGCAGTAACAGTTGTGGTTGCTGCAGTAAGCAGTGTTTCATCTGGGGCGTAAATACCAGAAAACAAATAGGAAAGCACACAAAGGAAAAGAACACTATGTTTGCTGTTTCTTATTCTTTCTATAACAGAAATGAGAACAAGTTACTAAGAAAGAAAAAAGAGAACTTAACATGATCAAACACAAGTAAAAATGTAAAACACAAATACAGAAGTAATACAAACTTGTAAAACTTACGAACACGTCTGAAAAAGTTTGGCGTCTTCTTTGAAAGTAAGTGCCGTATCCCTCCAAAGGTCTTCATCATGTGGAAGCTCAAAATTTCCTCCTAGAATCTCCATAATTGCAAGAAGGTCATTGGGTCCATCAGGTAGGACTATGCTTTTGACAGCAAGATATGCTGCAGACTGTCAGTACCAAACAAAGCAGATCAGATGTTGTATATAATATACTTTGAATAACTTTTTCATTAAAATTATTTTAGTAAAAAGTACAATAATTTTCCATCTCCAGAATATGATGGCTGATTTGTTTAACATTCACAGAGAACACTTCATGGAAAGATTAGTAGACTGTGCTTACTGAAATTACAAACTATGAGTGAGCCAAGTACTCTGTACTTCTGAAACTTATACAAATAAGTTTCAAATACGACAAATAACTGTTAATATTATTTTGTTCAAGCTTGACTCTTACTATTGAAATACAACTAGTAAAATAATCTAAGAGAAAGAAAAACCTAGCACTGGACATAAACCTGGCTAATGTAGGACAAAGAGAACAACTGATTATGTAAATTTGTGGGAATAACTATTGCTTCCATGAATCACTAGCTCATACTCAGGACTGCTAAGCCTTAGAAACTGAAGAACAGAAATAGCAAATGCTGACTGAGGACAGGACTGGAAAAATGCCATTTCACTACTGTTTTTCTGAGAAAGACTATCAGAACCAGCAGAACCTCAGAAAAAACTGATTAAAATCCTACAAAGAATGAGGAGAGAGGAAAAAAAATGGACAAATGTATTGAGGGCTGATGCAGCGGGTTTATGAAAGACTTGGTAAAGACAGTCACTTCACACATTACACAGAAAGGAGGACCACTTAGAATTTTGGTTTGATTATTTTTGAGTGTTAAGCCAATGGTCATACTAAATAACAGAATATTCAAAAAATTTTTAAGGATTAGTTAGTTTAAGCATTAATTAATTCCAGCATTAGTAAAGGAGATTGTTCTCCCAAGGCTAAGGTTAGCAGCAGTGAATATTATGTATTCTGCATCAACCTCAGAACACTTTTCACTTCATAGATTCTGAAGAAATGCTGATTTTTTTTTATTAAAACTACTCTGCATACCATACTGTAAAATATTATTCCTACTCTTAGTAGCTAATTTATGGTTCTGTTTCATAATGTTAATGATTCTGTAGCTTACATTTGGGGAGTGTGCTGCTGACATGAAAAGATGGACTGGCTCCAGTCCGTACTTTTTTTTCAGATGAAGTGCGACAGCAAAACTCATGTAAGTTCCAAAACTGCAGCAAAACAAGAAATTAAAGCAAAGTAAGTAAAAATGTACATAAAACCTGGAAAATAGAAACATAATTTTAATTTCAGTGCTAACTGGCTATCTTGAACAATTGCTGAAATGGTATATGACGTGCAGATTATAATGATATTAGTTTATTGACATGAAGTATATTCCTACACAGTCTAATTTTGCAAATAAGGCCTCTTCATATTCTCTTTCTTTTAATAGTCTCCTTAATTTTCAATAAGAACAGTTATTTTTAATACTTGGGACTCAACAATCTTTAAAATCTGTGTTTCATGAATGATTCACCCCCTGCATTCATATAGATCAAGCACTGGCACAAATATTAACAATAAATGCAATTATGATTGATTTGAAACACATGCTCAGATGTTGCACCTGAAAGTACAAATAAATAACCAGAGACTTTGAGAGCACCTGCATGTATTAGGATGACTGGACAGAACATCCTTGCAGAAGCATATTTTTCCTAAAGGTTTTGCAAATAAAAACAAGTAACTCTCTACTCCTAGAGCTCAGCAATAGAAGCTCTGTCACCAGGGTATCTAAAAATGTATATATTTTTACCTGTGACCAAAAAATGCAAATGGTTTTTCTTTCAATTCTTTTAACAAAACACTTGTAATTTCATTAACTACACTTGTCATGTCTTTTGCAAAAGGCTCTTCAAGACGAGTTTCTCTTCCAGGAAGCCTTATACAGAACACTGCAGAGGAGGTGAAGGAAGGGAGGGAAAAGAATTATAGGTATTTCAAATAGATACAGTAAAATAATTTTAATTAAGTTTTTTATTATTCTGCAAAATATACATACTATTTTAATTAATCCTTCTTAGAGTTGATCCTGTGCACTTGCTTGCTGTTGCTGCCACTGTGATTTAATCCTGCAAGAGATTAGGTTTCCACCCTTCCTTTACTCTCAAATGTTGCCCCTCCTGCTGATCTGATTGCTAAATGCCTTGAGTCAGAATCCACAAGATCCTGATTTCAGCTGAGATTTGAAAGCAACTTTATTGTTGTAAATTTTAATAACAACCACAAATTCATTAATTTCAATAATAGTAAGTTTGAGAGTTGTGTAAAATATATCATTTCAAGGGCAGCATTAGTAAGTGAAACTATATTAGAGTTGCACAATCCTTGTTTTCTTCTTTGTCAGCTCTTCAGCACTGCACATTGGAAAACATGGAATCATAGTGCAAATTGGTGGATGTTTGTATTGAGAGTTACATTTATAGTTATTTATAGAGAAGGAAATTTACATGCTTTTACTGTTTTCCTTTCAAAACTGAGGATTTTTCTCTCACTGTTTAATGAAAGTAAGGAATAAATAGACCAGAAAATATGTTGATTTTTTTCAAATCTCCTTGACATCATGCATACTGCTAGTTATGTGGAAGTAATGGGTCAGACACAAAGAGACAGACTGTTCTAGAAGAGACAGACTAAACCACAACCTAATACCATAGATATGAGTACAGAAAAGTTTGCATCTTCTATACTTTCTGCAGAAACCATCCCTGAAAGAACATGCTGTGCCCTGACTTTATTCATCTGCATCTGCAGTTGGTCCTAGGCCATTTCCTTAGTAATTTTCTTGGAAGTACTTCCAGTGGACAAAAACTTTTTCTTTCTTGTTTTCTGTTTTTTCCCCTAATTCCAAGGAAGATTCAACATGCAACTGCTTACCAGAAAGTATATTTGCATTTAGAGGACTGGTAAAACTGCAATGGCAATGTTCATGAATATGAAATTGTTTTTTTCTTTTTGGAAGGTTTGGAAAATGGCCTTGGTTCCTCTTCAAATAGGTCAAGCAATGGATTTTTTTAGTGCTGATATATCTAGTGAGCAATGAGAATTACTTCATAGTGTAACTAAACATCATTTCACTGTTATAAAATTCATAGATTAAATTTCAGTTTTGATACAAGAAGTA